TTTTGCTGTCCTGTCACAAGGTAACTGGATACTGAAGGTTAATTATTTACTATGGGGAACCAGGGGATGAAAGGAGGGGGAGGAGTAAACTTTACATATAACTTTATGTGTGAGGAGTCTATAGATAGCTGAAATAGGAGGCAACAGAGGAACACAGGTGACAGAATTATTGTCCTGTACTAAGATACTAAAGACAGATACATAATTATAAGGCTTGGCATAGAGAAGTACTTAGGAGGTATTTAAGTTGCTGAACACTGACATTTTCAGCAATGAGAAATAAACACTGTTAGAAGTGTTTAGGACTCCTATTGCCTGTGCCATGTTTTCCTGTATATTTTTTTCATAGTCCAAGTGTGTGAAAGGGAGTTTTGAATAATTGCAAGGGTCTTAAGAGATCAGAAAGACTGATCATAATTCCATTTGATGTTGATGATATCATAAGGTTTAGAGTGAAACAAAAAAGAAATTAAGGAAGTCAGACTTGAAATTCATGATAATATGATATAAAATTAAAAACTGGAAATGTTAAAATAGTCAATGAAAGGAGTAGACAGGAGTGAGTTCATATGTTGTGCATAAAGGAACTATGAATCTACCATGTAAAATATAGCTATATGTTATAGAAACCAGAGTTATTCTTAAAATACCTTTGATGATTTCCATTATTGCAGTTTTAGAACTAAGCAATATTCAAGAATTTAAGAACCAGTTTCCTTATCTTCCAAGTAACCATTTGAATGCAATGATACTGTATGGTTACATTTATTCATTGGTTTTAATACGCAGAGCATCCTTTGCCCTCATGTTTTTCACTGTTTGGGCTAAGATTTCCTGACCTAAAGAAAATTTTATTTATGGCCATTTTGGCTTGTTAGGTCAGTGGTTTCCAAAAAACTCGGACAGTATCCCTCAGCTAAAAAGAAATTTCACAAAAGTTTATCAGTGTTAGTACTAGCACTCCATTATATGGTTGAAGGTTAGGTTCTCTTGCTACTCTTACATAGCCACAATTGGTCTATTTTTGAAATTTTCATAATCTAAGTAAAATATGGAAACTAAAATTTTCTGAATGATCCATCTTAATGGGGCCTAGCTACTTAGAGCCTCTTGGTGATTGCCATACTGGAATATACATTTATTGATAGACTAGTACTGAGAGACTTCTGTTGCACTTAAGGCTTCTGATTGTTGCAGTTCCCTTGAATAATGAATATCTATTTTGTCAAGTCTGAAGGATGCCTTTTTTCCTTCCTCTCTATTTCATCCATGGAGGTATCCAAATCTGACTTGGCTCTGCAGGCAGCCTTGCAGAGCACAGGAAGAGAAAGTCATGCTGCATTGCAGTCTGTAATTAAACAGGCAGATTGGAAAATGGACTGAAAGTGATGCAGAGGGTGGAATATATCGTAAGATTGGATAGAAGGGTGAAAGGATAGAGTCAAAATGGGAAAAGGCCTTCAGCCTACTGGCTTGAGGGGCCACAATTCCAAAATCTCATGGATGTGACAAAAATCACACACTGGGCCCAGCTTTGCTGCACAATTGTTTGCTTTTTATAAGACTTGGGATTAAGCTCTGTGCTGAATTCACTCTCAGGCAGGCTGAGAAAATGCAATGAACTTTCAGCACAGTTTGGGAAAAATTGTTTGTACTCTCGATTAAGACTGAGACTGTGTTTGAGGAGCAAAATTATTCCAGACTTAAATCTTTATAGTTTGAACTCAGCTCAGAATGTCTAATATGCCTTTTCTGTCACCTTCTATTTGGGACGAGGACTGAGAAACCCTTACTTTGTTTTAGTGACTTGTCCAAGCAAATAATAACAGCCAAGGAATATTATCAGCTGCTCCTCCTACTCGAGTCAAATCTGATGTGGATCTAATAGATGACTGAATTTGGAGATTTATGTGATTTTACATCTTGGCATTCTAGCTAGGGCACACAGACTTTGCAATATCCAGACAGTTGTTGGTGCCTCAAGAAGATGGAAAAAACAACCTGTGCATGAGCAATGGACGTGGAGCTGTGGCTGTGCTTTCATGTGACACAAAAAGGGCCTGACACACTCCTTCCCACATGTGCAAGGCCAAGTGCAGAGCCAGCAGGACTGCTGCTGCTCCTACCATTGTCATTGTCATCTTCACACAGCATAATGCTGCTTCTGCTGAGAACCAAGCAAGCTGTGCTTGGAAATCGCTGTTGTGTTATTCTAGGCTTTTTTATAGAGTTCAAGTGGCTCGTGTTTCTGTGTGAAAAGTGCAGTGCTAAAGTGAAATGCCAAACACTCAAAATGTGCCACACTGATTTGACCACTCAGGGCATTATACCCCAGTATTTGACAGCACGGTCACATGCTGTGCTCTTCCACAAAACCCCAGCCTCCTTAGCTGTGCAACGTGAATGATGTTCTGAGAATGCATTAGATTTAGATTTAGAAAAAAACATACCCTGTGTTTTTCTGTTTGTTGCAAAGGTTAAAAGGCATGCAGCAAATGGTAGGGAGAGGGGTTAACGCTTTAATGTCCCTAAAAGTAAATTCCATTCTTTTCTTTGCTTTGGCACCTATGTGTTTTAGGACCAATCATCTAATGTAAAAGTTTTTTGGTTGATCATGGTTGTTATTATCTAAAGCTGAAATTTCAGAAGCTCAGAGCTCTCATAACCATAATTAAACTGTGCTTTTAGTGTGCACTCGAATGTTTAAGAACTCAGAAAATAAGCTGTTAGAACACTTTTATAATTCAAGCATCAAAACTGTCTTTTGGTTCCTTAGTTTTAAAATAGTATGAACGATGTTCTGATACAGGTTCAGCAGGGGAGTTGAAGTATTCTTTTGTTATTGGGACAATACCATGAAAAAGGCAGTAGAAAATTAACAATGTTATAGTGAATTTTTAGTTTGGATTACATGTCATAAAGAGATTCTGCTAGATATGGTGATAGAAAAAAATTTGAACTCATTCACTGAATGCAACACTGTGATGGCAAAGCTAATGTGTAGTCATGTGGTGCAGCTGCATTAGAGACAGAACTGTGTGGGGAAGACAATTTGCTTTGTATGGTTTTTAGGAATAGGAAATTGTTAGCATTTGCACTTGGAACGAAGCCCCCAGATTGTGAAAGTCTACATTATGGTAAACATTGGAAAGTATACTGGTTGGAACCAATCAAGTTTTCATTGTTTGTATGCATTTATATATACATATATACACACACACACATATGTCTACATTTAGTTATATAGTTAGAGAATTTTCAGATTATTTGAAATACTGAAATGACATGTAAATGTCACTTGAACTACATCTTCTTTTTCAGACGTATTTTAATAATCTCTAGCCTAAATTCTGATTCTCTTGGAGTTCTTCAGTGTTGACTGTTTAAACTTCATTTATTTAAAAAAAGTGGCTTCTGTTTTTCTGGTCATGTCTAATCATGGTAGTTAAGCATCACAGATGTATTTCTTAAAGTTTAAATCCTTAATTGAAAGGTTTTTTCAATAGTTTTCAACATCAAATATCAATTAAGTAGCTGACATGCTTCTTTATCCTACAAGGGATTTAGACAAATGAGCAATTTTGTAGTGCCACAGTAAAAATCTCTTCGAATGCAATTAGATATACAAAATATCAGACACTTTCAACCACTGGGGTGAAGTGATTCTGTTGATCTTGGGACTCTGATGTTGCAGAGTTTTTTTCTTTAGTTATTAATTCTATCTTTTGCTTCAGTTGCCAGAAGCTGAAGCACTCAGAATATATCTTAAGAAATAAAAGTTAACACTGCTGGTCTTAATACATAGTATTTGTTGGTTTTACAGAAATAAATATTAGCTACAGCGCTTTCCAAATGCTCTGTTTCTCATCTCCCAGTAATGAGCTGTATCAGGCTTCTGTTTTCAGTTCTGCTTTGATGATAGTGCTGCTTCTGACGACTGGGGCTAGATCTATTTAGCCATAGAGTAATAATTTTTTAAAGTGCTGAGTTCTGGTATAAATGCTCTCCCAATGAAGTCAGTGAGAAGAACTTCATTCATTGCAGTCCTCCTTTTGAAAATCTAACCTTTAATGTACTTTTTATACTGAGTAGGGGGTGGTTGTTTTGTTGGTTTTTTGGGATTTTTTTGAGACATCACAAATTTTTAGAAATAAATACAAAAGGAATGACATGACTGGAGGCAAAGACTTGTGAAAATATTTTTACTTAGTATTTTGTTATTATCATTATAATTGCAGGAATGGCTTATAGATCATTGCAGGTAGATGTAAAGGAGTGAAGTCTGTAGAGCACTGTGAAGAAAAGAATGTTAGTGACTTAGATATGAATCAGTCAGAATTGCAAATCCCTATTTTTGGACATTTTCAGTGCTGAGAATAGCTATCAACGCCCCAATTCAACAACCAAAGAATATTTTAGAACATAATTGAAGGAATAGTGAACTACTAAGAGAAAATCACAGTTCAGGTACAGCTCAAACAGCATTTGAAACATGTTCAAAATATCTTTCCTATTGTTTTCTTGATATATTATGAGTAAGTAGTAAAATAACATAGGGACATTTGGCAATGCTTCCCTTAAAATCTATATACCAATTTTTGAGGATACAAAACTGTACCTCTTTGCATGAGGTTAAAAAAGGAGTTTGTCCTGCAGTTTATTCATGTCAAGATTCTCTTGATTTCACTGTGAATTTCTCTTGTGTTGAAATTCCGGTTAATCTGTCTTGGAAAGCCAATGCACAGATACTGGCCCTTTGAGAAGTTGTTATGTTAAAGAAAGAAATGTGAAAAATTGACATAAAAGGGCAGCAGTCCTTTACCATAAGAAACTGACAACTTGTACACAGTCATGTATTCAAAGTGTTTACTGAAGGCTGAAAGTTCCTATTTTAGGGAGCTTCTGATCTTCCAAACATAGCTGGAGTGTTTTAAGAAGAGGTCCAACTAGCAAGAGCAGGGGGGGGTTTATTATTATTTTAATTTTTTTTTATTTTCCAGATTGAAAGAAATGAGTAGGATTTATAATTGCAATTGGCTGGAAGTGCCATGGGGAGATGGAGATTTAGGTATTGTATAATAATTTGTAATTTTTTTTTAACTTTACATGTTAATGCAGTGAATATATTTATTCCTTCTTGTTAATGCTTGCAAAGCAATGATGCTTTGTAATAGTTTGCCCTTCTGGTAAACTATACATCAGAGAACTTACAACTAATGTGGCTTCTGTATATAGAGATACTTCATATTCAGCATGGTCAGAGACAATTTCAGTTGGGAATCAATGCATTATGAATTTTGGAATAGACCATGTTTGCTAATAGTGCTGTTGCAATCAATGAATGAAAGCATCCCTGTTTATATTTTTGCTAGTGACTTCTAAGTAAGAGACATTGTAGTTTGTAGGCAAAGAATTTAAGAACACTCTTGATTTTTTTTTTTTTTTTTTTTTTTTTTTTGGTAAATATTTATGTTGAACATATTCTTGTCCCTGTGGTGTTTAATGATGAATTACCATGTATATCAACAAATTAGTTGGAATGTGAATTTTCTTTTCCAAACTTGGTTGGCACAAAATAGTTATGCAATATTTCGTTTTTAGATTTTATTTGTAGAGATGATACAAATATTTTGCATTTTATGGATTTATCAGAAACAGCTGGCTGCTGAATGTCTCTGCCTGAAGATAGGGATATAAAGTGGGTCTAGGTGCAAACCAGAGCTTAACAACAGGATCTGGCATCATTTGATCATGAAATGTCACTGCTTTCAGATGCTACCTGCATCTTTATTGTGTTTATATATGGCTACAAAAATGTCTGAAATGTAAGTGTATTTAATGGGCATAAAACTTGATAACTCCTATGATTTTATAAGATGATTTTCCATATAATCAGTTAAGTGTATTTTTTTTCTTTCTTTCCATTGAGTAGGATAAACTGTCAAGAGAGAGACATTCTCATCTATATAGACAGGGGGACAAAATACAAAAAGCAACCTCTAAATACAGATTTAAATGTGAGGAATTTTTTGCACAGCCAGCAGGAGAACTGAATGGATCCGATTAATTTGAATTAGAACAACTCGAGTGCTCATTCAGATACTACTGCACAAGAAGAAAAACATTGATAGAAATACTCATAGTGATTACACACATCCAAACCATAGTACAATAAATCTATCTGAGCTTATTGGTATGAAAAGAAAATACCAATGATTTGTCAAAATGAGGTCACTTTAAGGTTTCTGAGCCTAAGTTTTTTTTAATGTATAATAACCCTTAAAATCTCGATCACTTTGTGTGTGTTTTTTTAAGTTTTATTTTTGTTTGTCGTGGGTTTTTTTGGTTTTGTTTTGTTTATTTGTTTGTTTTGTTTTTGTGGAATTTTTTTGGTTTTTTGCTTTATTTTTTTTGTTTGATTTGGTTTCTTTTTTTCTTTTTTTAATTTGGACTATCAATAAGAATTTCAAAACAGTAAATTAAATTAACCTGAAATTAAAAGTACAGGGAATAATGTGTGTGCATGTGTATGTACATGCACACACAGATGACCAGAGTTTAGTCCAAATAATTCTGACAGAATATTGGAAGCTGGATCTTGCCAATAGCCCATCTACTGCCATAGATGAAAGAGTTTAAGGAGCTTCACACATACAGGGATACTCTGACATAATAGAAATCTCATTGCTTTTTTAAAATCAAGTTTATAAAACCTTATTCTCATATTTTTAAACTTCTGTGATCAGCTTTATGTAGTCTTATGATAATTTAAATAATCATCTTTGCTTTTGTTTTGCCAAGTTTTTGATCTCAGTAGTATTCAGTAGTGCTGAGTCACAAAGTGCACTATGTTCTCCAGTCATGTCTGTGTAACTTTTAGTCTCATTCACTAACACCAGTAGGAAAATGGAGGTTTTATCTGCATTTCCTATTGTTCACTATTTAATATGTTTTTAACTAGGCCCTAAATTCTTTTCAGGTTGAGCAGCCTTAACCTTTTCATCATTCTTAATGTGATTTGAGGAGGTTGTTTATGATAAACAAAAGTGTACTTTCTGAAACAGGCTAGTGGACAGAAGGAGTCCAATGGAAACAGAAAGAGGGGCTATTTCTGGGGTGTAGTTATCTTAGAGCTGAGGCTGATGACTGCCAGGGATTGAGCAACAGCTTTCCCATTTCAGGTTCACTGTGTGGTCAGTAAATGCAGTGGCTGGCTCTGTAGGCACTCCCTGTCCATGGCAGTCAAACCTGTACATATGGAAGGGTCATCTGCCAATGTTACAAGTTCATCATTCCAGGCTAATTCTCTCTACATTTCTTCAGGAATTTTGGGCAGCTTGATATAACTCACTGATTTGTATTAGTATTTTACAGTTCTAGCAATTTTGTTCTTAGAGGAATAAATACTGATAATTCATAATAATTTTGAAGATGTTCCTTCCTTGCACAGCCTCTCAAAACTGGATTTTCAAAATTCCTGCCATAAGTTGGTATCAGCTCTGCCTGCAGCCTTGGCTGGCTAGAAGGGACCTGTTAGTGTGCAGTCCTCTAGAGCAGGTCCTTCAGCAAGAGCTTCAGGATGTCTCTGGAACCTGGGTTGGGAGTTATGGAGGGTTATGTGTGTGAATGCAGGGTTGTTGTTGGGTTACTACTTTTTGTCACCTTTCTCTTTTGGGAGTAATAAATAAATTAAAATAACGGCCAAACCTTTACAGTAAACATATCTAATTGTTTTGAGGCCTAATAGTTTATGGAATGAGAATGTAGACTTTATATCTTATTTCTACTATAGTAATTCTTTTACTTTGATTCTCACTGTATTTCTCTCCTTGCACTTGTGTAGTAGCTTCAAATTAATCTCACCATACATTAAGATTTCCACATTGCTTTTCATATACACTAGCTTCTTTGTGACTTCTTCAGGCAGCTTTACACCTAGTTTAAATTAAAATAATGCCTATATTCCAGCCACAAAGTTTTATTATGTGTATTAAAAATGAACAATGCAAAAATAGAAGTGGAATATGGTAATTAATGAATTTATTAAATCAGATTACTGATATCAATATCTCAGTATATTGTTCTGTGGACCACATAATGATTTATTAGAGAGGTTTACAGTTTCTTGTTTAGAAACTGATCATTTGAGTCTCTAAAGAGGAAAAATTAATTTCATAGAACATTTGACTTCATTCTGTGCATCATATTTTCTGCTTTGCTCTGTGCATTCCAAACCCTTCTAATTCATATGGCTAATTCAATAAATGTTCTTGTTGTATAGGTTCTTGGGCAGATCGCTCACCTCTGCATGAGGCAGCCAGTCAAGGACGTCTTCTTTCTCTAAAGACTTTATTGTCACAGGTGAAGGCTCTGTTTTTACAATTGCTTTCATTTTTAATGTTATTTAATTTCTCAGCATAGATTGTTAATGCAGATTTATTATGCTTTGTTTTGCTTTTTTCACTTGAATTTTTCAGAGCAATACATATTTAGGAATTTTTCATATTATAAGATATAAGCTAGTATTTAAAATATTTCCTCTGTATGTTTTAAACTCCTCCACCCACAAAAAAAAACCCCCTAAACAACCCCCCCAAATTGTATCTAAATTTATGTCAGTCTTCCCCTCTTGCATGGGACAAATCAACAAAGTTTCACTGTTTTAAGCCTTTGGGTAAATAGAGCCAGTCAGGAAGGAAGATACTAGTTAACAGGAAGAATCACTGAAAGATTCTGGATTTTGCATTGTTGTAGTTTAAAAAGTAATTGCTAATATCAAAGGGAGACACTGTAAATGCTAAATTTTTATATTAGAATATTGTCCTATTAGCTAATTCAATATTGAAAAATTATACTATAGCATATATTTGATGAAAGTCGGTAGATAGAATTGTTAGTTGTTAAGAATCAAACAACATCTACTGCAAAAACTTTAGAGGGCTTGGTGATTTTATCAATCCAGTAAGTGTTTACTTTGCAAAAATTCGTAGGTTTGGATATTTCAGACTTAATTCACAGGATGACAGAATCACAGGAGAGTTTAGACTCAGGTCTTTGTGGGGTTTTAAAGATCACCAAGAGTGGAGATGCACCATCCTTTCCCTCATCTGTTTCAGAGTTTCACTCTCCCCCAGTTCATTTTTTTCCCCACATAGCTGCTTGGAACTTGCCATGTTCTTAGTTGGGTCTGTTGCTTTTTGCCCTGTCACTGTGCATCTAAACAGTCTACATATTTTATGCCTATTTCTTATTAAAAGTAAATGCTTACTGAGGATTGACTTATTGCAAGTTGAGTTTTAAGCCTATTTAGAGTGTTGTAAACTATTCATTTGAACAGTAGTGTGAGGAAATTACTCTTAATGGTTTTTTTTATGATCTTTAAATACCATTCACATCTATTTTAGGGGTACAATGTAGACACACTAACAATTGACCAGGTAACTCCACTCCATGAAGCCTGCCTGGGAGATCATGTAGGATGTGCAAGAATCCTCCTTGAAGCAGGAGCAAATGTAAGTCTTTGGTTTTGTTTTCTTTTATATGAAGTCCAGTTCTACCCTTGGCTTAACTGAGAAGGATATATTCCTTGATTTTAATGTAACTGGTCTCACCCTATTGGCTGTGTTAATCTCATGTAATTACAGCTTCCATCTGAATGTTAGCAAATGACAGTGATGGGCAGCCATTGAGACAGTCATGAGTTGGAGTGAATCTGTTAGCAGTAATCATGATAATATTTCTCTTCTAAAATATGGAATGCATTCCTCTACTGGGTTCCTCTTGCTTTGAGTGGCTTTCAGAAGACTGTTTTTTTAATCTTCAGAATGTCTGCTGTCACACTGCACCTGTGTGCTCTTAAAATTCTTTGGTCTGAGTAGAAAAAAGCAGTGTCTCTTTGCTGTACTCCTGACATATGCTGTCTTATCCCAAAATGAAAAGGGGACTTAACAGATCACTTTCAATGCAATGTCTGCTGATACCAGAGTTCAAGTGTATAGCTTCCCAAGTCTCTGATCTTTGTAATGGAAATATTTATTGTTCTTAAAATTCAGTTTTCAGAAGCATGTGGAATATGTCTGTGTTATTATAGAAAAAGAAAAAAAATAGGTATTTCCAAACCAATTGCTCCCTACTTCAGCTAGCACAAGGATTCTAAAGATAGAAAACTGTAAGAAAAAAATTAATTTTCCCACTTGGTTTATTTTTAGTATTTTTAATTGTTTTGGTGGGTGTGAGGGTTGCATGAAAGAAGATAGGCCAGAGTCCTGGAAGGAGCCTTCTCCTCATACCTGTGTTCCTTCCTTTAGTGGTATTAGCCCTCACGAAGTTGCCTTCTTTGTCTCCTTACTCTCTCACACTGGAAGTACTCAGTTGAAGAGTGAGGTGGCAAGGTTGATATTAAAACAGTGAGCCTATGCCAGTAGCTTTGTCTCCATCCTGTGAAATATCACTTGAACCTGGAGACTAAAACTACAGAAGAAAATGGCAAATAATCCTCATTCTTGTCAGAGCTGTGGAGAGAAGATCCCTTTGTGCCGTTAGTAAACAAAGTGTACATTTTCTGTATCAGTGAATCAAGCTCAGAGCAATGACTTTTCAAAGTTATTCACTGCTCAGATGTCAATGTATGCTGTTTAGTATTCCAGGTGTATTTATCCAACATAGTTTAACAAGAATAATAGTAAACTAATTCCAGCTGAGAAGCATGGTAAGAGGAAGACAGCTTCACAGGGGCTGGTCAGTTAACTTGTTATTTTAACTAGTACTTTTTTTTTTTAATTTATTTTATACAATTTCTAACTATTCCCTGTTTAAAAATCTACCTTTCTTTTAATTCTTTTTGTAAATAGATTTTATATCTTCTAGGTAAATGCTACAACGATTGATGGAGTGACACCTTTATTTAATGCCTGTTCGAGAGGCAGTGCAGCATGTGCTGAGCTCCTGTTGCAGTATGGTGCCAAAGCTCAGTGGGAGTCCTGTCTGCCATCACCAACACATGAAGCAGCCAGCAGAGGTAAGAAATCACCTCCTCAATAAACATGGAGCAGTTGAGCAATGTGTCAGTAAGAGGGTTAAGAAATGTGTGTGGTTTTGTCCATGAGACACTGAAGTCGAGCAAACTGTCATGCTTTGTACTGACAGGTCACAGTGAATGCCTGGAGGTACTGATATCCTGGGGTATAGATGTTGATCAAGATCTTCCTCATTTAGGAACACCTCTGTATGTAGCTTGTGTTTCACAGCAGATCCACTGTATTCGAAAGCTTCTTTATGCAGGTATGTCATGATCTCAATAAAAATATTACTGGTCTGTAATATAAGCATATTGTAGTTGCCTTTGAAGTTGGCTGTGCTCGGCCAATTGAACTGGAACCCTTGCTTGCAGGGTTCTACGTCAAAGTTTATGCTGATTCATGTTTTCTTACAACTTAGTATATCTTGTATTTTTTGGTGCCATAGTAAGCATAAGAAGAAAAAAGGAAGCAAGACCAATAAGAATGAATGTTCAAAATTTTCAGCACATACTGCAGCTTTATAGATACTAATTTTCTGTAGGAAAAACAAGGGTAAAAAAAATGAGCCTTGAGAAAATTTAGATAGTAATCATTGAGATTTCAGTCAAACTATTTTAGCAATGAGGTCCCATTCGCTTTCATTCTTCAGCAAGTTCTGGTTGTTCTTTTCACGAGGCATAGAGGCTGAGTTGCAGAGGGAGGAGGTGAGGTTAAAGGCATCTGATCCTAAATTACACATTACTTATTTAATCAATGGGTAAGAGATGTTGAAGGCTCGCTCTGTTTCAGCACAAGTTCAGGGACACAGCTGGCATAGCTGAAAGACAATTTGCTGTGTTTCAGGTATTTACATACAGGGCTTTTGCATCCTGTAGAACAAGGAAATAAAATGTTATAATTAAATGAATAATTCAGCCTTGCTATCACTGCACCAGAATAGTTTTTCTAGTTGATTGCATACTATATTTAGAACTTACACAAGCAGCTAAAGTGTTTCTCATTGAGTCCATCTCCTTGGATGATTAATTATCCTATGTAATGATTTTTTATGTTTAAGAACAGTAAAAGTATAATTAGCATATTTTGGGATTGAAATATTCCCACACAGAAAAAAAAAGTAACAGAAGGGCATATTCTACATTTGTTGGTGCCCTGAAGTAGAAAAGGGTATGCAAATTGACAATATAAGTAATTAGTTATGTAAATCAAATTTTTTCATGTTTTATCAGTTTGTGAGAATGTATTAGAAGTTGAAAGGCAGATAAACAATGAAATAAGCAAGAGAATGGTACTGCAGAAGCATGCTCAAATTGCTGCAAACAGTGAATTACTCAGATTTCGGGTCCAGTTGCTAGACCTGTGACATTATAAACTTATTTTACTCAAATGGACATTTAAAATGCAAAAATTGTTGATTCAGGGAGTAAAGTTGGTACAGAAGGCAATTTTTGGTCTCACAAGGTCAGAAAGAAGTCTGAAGAAGGCTGGATTTTAGATGCACCTAAGGATTCATCTGTAAGGTTGCCTTTAAGGGAGTTTCTTCCACCTAGCTAGTTTAGTTTAAGTCTTGTACAGATTTTTTTTCTTGAATGTCAATGCATTATTGAAAATTAATTGAGTCCATTTTAATTTAAGACATGTTAACAGTTACCTATTAATATAAAAGTCTAATAATTAGAACCCATGGATTGGGAGAATTAATGGTTTGGGTTTTTTTCCCCTATTAGCTTTCTTGAATGTGTATCTCATCTTAACTAAAATTAAACCTAATTTATAGATTAATAAATAAAGGTTGAATGGGATGGATGTCTGTTTCAACCCTTTGCCAACTTCAATATGTGAAAATTTTAAGGCGTCCAAGATTCTTTATTGAGTTGATGTACTTACAAAAATAAACATACAGAACTTCAGTTTAGTGATTTTTTTTTTAAAGACTTAAATAAGGAAAGTAGTTTTTTTATATAGTACAAATTTTCTTGAAAAGTGCTTTTTTATGATTAGGCAACAGTGATCCTCATGTTACTAAATTGGTACCTGATACCTTTTTATCTTGTTGTACTTAGGTAATAAAACCTAGGATAAAAAAACAAAACCCAAAGAAAACAATAATGTGATTAGTTATAGTTCTATGCAATAAAATTAATAAAGTGGTTAAATGCACTGTGGCATTCCAGGCCAGTGATGATTTTTGTTTGTTTTTTTAGCTTCATTTTTCTTACTCAATGGCAAATTTAATTAATCTCTTCTTATGTCTCTTTATGTGCATCTGCCCACCAGGTGCCAACGTGCAGAAAGGAAAGCATTTGCAGACTCCACTCCATGCTGCTGCTCAGCATTCTAGTACAGAGATTGTAAATTTACTCCTTGAATTTGGGGCAGACATAAATGCCAAAAATTCAGATTTTGAGAGGCCTGTTGATTTAGCTGCCCCAAGCAGTTTAGTGGAGGGACTGCTGCTCTTCCATGAAGGTAAGTTTTATGTTTATTTTTGAAGCTGCAACTTGTATTATTAAAAAAAAACCCACCTAGAAAAAGCCCAAACTTAACAGTCCAAACAACCCATATTATAGAAGGTAACACTGTGCTGTATGAAATGAATACATGAGCATTCAGGTAATTTCCTTTCTGACTATAAACATACTCAACAATATTTACCCTCAGGCCAGAGCCCATTGACCAAGCAGCATCAGAATTTATACAAGCTGAAAAAGTATCATCATGTGTTTATTGGGTGTTTACACAAGTAGATATTAAAGCTACATTTTTACTGGTTTTTACAGACCTTGTTAAAAAGAAACAGGTTAAAAATATATTTCAGTTTGGTCAGCTGTCATAATATTTTAAAATATGTATTTTATGTGCATATAAAGCAAATTATTTTGACTGTGGGAAAAGCCTAAGAAGTTTAATTTTCTAAATTTTCTTTAAAAAATTATAAAAACCTGGGAAACAGGAGACTAAAGAGTCTACAGTCCCTCAAACCTCTTAAAGGTCTATCTGCTTTGGAGAAAGAGAATATTCCAAAGGGAACTGGACTTGTTCAGACTGAGCTATGTATAATGTAAAAATAAGCCACAAGAGAATGAAACTATTTCAATAACCATGGGCATCTCTTTAGATATGAACTCACAAGTAATACTGATTCATGTTTTCCTCCAAAAAAACACTCTGTAGTCTGAATGCTATTAACAAAACCCCTCTAAAAATTGTATATTTTCACAAATCTACCAAGATTATTAGTGTTTTTAAAAGTTAGAGCAAAGAAAAAATTACATGGCATGACACAGATAGAGGTTTATTGTCCGGAGAAAACAACGAGTCTGCAGTTTTTAAACTTATTGACATCAGATATTTTCTGGGAGTTGGTACTTAATTTTAAAAAAACTGACCTTGTCTTGCTTTCTTTAGTATTTCCCTAACTATTATTAAAGTTTAAGTAACCCAAGTCTTTATCTTTGAGGACAGAAAGGCAATGAAGGGGAAAAAGTTCAAAATTGCAAAATGTAAACTTTTTTTGAAATCCTGTTATTGTGCAAGACTGTTGTAAACAAAACGCTGGTTTTTATAGTTGTACAATTAAACTCCTTTCTTTATTGTTTGCAGCCACACCATCTTCTCTTTGTCAGCTCTGCCGACTATGTATCCGAAATTACATAGGAAGAGCTAGACTGCATCTTGTTCCACAACTTCAGTTGCCAACAATACTTAAGAATTTCTTACAGTACAGATAACATAGTAATTGATTGTTAGAAACTTAAATATAGCAAGTACATTTTCTTCTGTTTATTGTACGTTTTATCTAAAGAACTGCTGGGCGGAAAAAAAAGCCTTTTGCATATTGCTTAAAAAAATCCTATCTTTGACACCTGGTGTTTGTAATGTAATAGTAATTGGGAGCCATTCAGCAACTAGTGCCAAGGTGCTAATCCAGCTGAATTGAATAAGTGTGCTGATACTCTGGGACATGATTGTACAACTTTATCTTAACCCCTAATAGCTTTAGTGCTGTTAACTTTAATTGTGTTTATGTTTTTAAAATCCGTTTGACACACCTGAACCACGGAAAGTTTCTTCATTATTATTTGTTAAGTTTGTCCATTTGGAGTCAATATTTTATGTATTTTTAAATTTCTGTTGTTCATGTACCTAAAAATACTTGGTGATGGGTGCACTTTATGCATTGAGGGTGCACTATATGCATTGATAAAAATAAAGCAATTAGATGTCAATTCTTTTTCTTTATAAAGACAATTCATTAATCACAGTGAGAAACTTCCTTTACTCTTCCTCACTGCCTGTGCTGTGAATTGTAATTAAGCTGATGTGAACACAACCTCAATTTTTTATAGAATTGTTTATTGGTACAATTAGTAACATTTCTCAAAAACCTTAATGCAGAGATGCTTTTGATATTCTCTTGTAAAAGAATGATATGGACACTTCCTTTATCTTTTCATAACAATGCTGTATCACGAGCATTTAAGGGGCATATTAAATAATTATTTGCCTCAAAGGCATATTTTAATGTGTAGTGTCTATGAGGTTTCTGAAGGCATATAGTGGAGATGTGGATACTGAATCTTCAAGCTCAACTTCAGGAGATGAACACAAGGTTTCAAAAATGTCAGTTTTCTGTATCAATATGGGTAGAGCTCATGAGAGGACATTACTTCTCTTACTACCTGTTTTGTAAACATTTTCCCAGCTTCAAACATCCTATTGCAAATTCCCAGAATACTCCAGCTAGCATTTCTGTGAAAAGGTATTGTTCAACTCTAGCTAGAGATGGAATGGTGACGTGCTCAAGAGAGATCAGAAAACCCTAAGGCTTTGTTCATGCCCTTGAATTTTTGATGATTGTGATCAGAATAGATGAAAATACAGCGCTCCTCCTTTCCCTCTTGTCACGTGGCATTCCTTTGAGAACAGATTACTTTCTCAGTGACTGATACTCAGTTCCTGCAAACCAAAGCACAGGACACCTGAAAACTTGCCATTTGCCCTTGGTGATTCACCCTCTTCCATTCCTTTTCAGTGACTCCTTTCAGTATTTATATTTCTACTGGAAAGATGCTAAGTGAGGAACTAACTATAGAAGACGCTTTCACAAAGAGGAATGCTTACTCAGTTGCTAAATTATATGCACCTAATAAAAAAATGTAGCTGTCTTGTCACCATGTTAAATAACCTTAATTTTCTTCTGTTCCCCACAAAAATTCTAGTTAGGGGTCTTTTCTGGAGTCCTTGTAAAGGAAAGTCAAATGCAAATATGAGGAGCTGCTTCAGAGTCCATCATATCCTGAGTCTGTACTAGGGTGAATGTAGTGGTTTTTGTTTTAATTCAGAAAGTAGCAATTTGTGTTTTCAGGTACAACACCATTACTGTATATTACTCTGACAAACAAGCCAACTTTGAACTATCAAGCCAACCACATCACTGTTGAACTTCTCCACATGAAATAAGCTCATTTAGCACCTCACTTTCTGGTGTACACATTGCTTTTCAAGTTTGATTCAGACAAAGTGGCAAAAAAAGCTCTCATGTCCTATACACCTATATTAGTTTGGAGCAAACCTGGCTATTCTGCAAAACACCTCTTTGGAATGCAACTAGATAATGTTAAAAGTTTGGATGAGAATCACACCAGAGTCCAAGCCATCTCATTGCAAATAAGTGTATTCACGCTCTTGTGGCATTTGCAATATCTATTCCCCCTGATCCCTGCCACCATCCAAAGAACAGACTAGACCATCTTTGTAGTTTACAGATACTTGGTACTATTTTTTCTGTAATGTTACAGAATAGATTAGTCAGAAGAAACTGGCTTGTGGTAATACCATTACTTTGATCTCAGGCAAGAGACACTTCCATCTTTTGCTACCAGATAATTATGTGAAAATTGAGTTCATTTTGGCAGGCTGAGCTGAGTTGGATGGGACATTGCTTCTGTTATTATGTGACAGGGACAAACAAAATAGGGAATGGATGTGGTTGGCCTGGCAGGACTATGCACTGGAGCAGGTCTTTGGCAGATCAGAGCATGCTACTGCCACATACCAAAAACACAGAGCAATGAAATACCTGGTGTTAGTGCTTGGTAAAATCTCTTCCACAAAGGATCCCTTGTTTAGCCAGAAATGAAAGGAAACAGGTTTGTTACTGTTCTCATGCTGTGAGGGCCCTAGTCCAATGTGGCTTTGATGGATTGAATTCTTAGTATGAAATAAATGTTAAGTAATGTATTAAAATGTTAGGACCCAGGATCTGAAGCAAACATTGATCGAGGTCAGGGCACTGTTATAGAATATTACAATAAAGCTCTTATTAAATGAATTGTTATATCAGTTAGAATGTGTTCTAAATCTAACAGTGAAATCCTGTAGGCTTGCTGAAGGTATTCCAGAGACCCACAGGAGGTACTGCACTGGTGGGTGAGAAATCCTGTGGAATACAAGGTTCTCCTTGTGCTTCTCCTGGGGCCTGTCCTGGTGCTGTGGGGCTGCTCGGCTCTGAGCGTGGCCAGTGCAGCATCACTGGCACAGCCTGGCGGGAGCCACACGCAGGGCGGAACGAACGGCATCGTTCCAGTCCACAGCAGGGGTTTAAAGTGCCAAATCTCCTATCTCAGGCTGCAGCTGCCAGTGAAGCTGTCTCTGAAGCTTACAAACATGTCAGTACTGTTGGACAGGTTATTTCCATAGAACAATGGATTTGGTTTTGCAGGGATGTTGAACATAACTGAGATTTAATAATAATTGGAAAGCACTAGCTGTGTAGCTTCAAATGTTTTTTAATTGAAATGGAAATATGACTTTTACAGAGGAGTCAGTCTTTTGAAGACGAAGTATTCTTTAATATTCAGGGGGAGATACCTGTATTTGACTTGCTGTACTAGACAATGAAGCTACATATTAGCAATCTGAAATTATTTTTGAAAATGATGCACCAGTTGACAGTTGCAACAGCAGACACAATTACAACTTTTTCTGCATATTCCCCTCACTCACCACTGTAAAAACAACTTTAAGGAAAATGCAACCTCATGTTACTCACAATGACTGTTACCTGATGGATCCCCAATATAAAAAACGTCCTTTGACTTAATTTTTGTATTTTAGTAAGGAAAGAGTTCCTAACCCTCACTCTGTAATTTAGAGGCAGTAGATTTGCCCAAGATTCCACGTTAAGGCACAATTTATGTGCAACACATCGATGCAGTTATACTACATATTTAAGATATTTTGACTGTGAAATATTAGTAAAACTCCTTATGATACAACAAAAGATTTAAAATATATTAGAATGGCAGTTGAGTCAATGCTTCAGATCCCAATCATCAGTCATGGGGCTGCATGTTCGGTTCTTACCTGTGCTCTCCACCTCTGTATCAACAATTTTTACATAACAGGTTGTGCAATTTATGTGCTAAAAGACAGATAGTCTTTCATATGACAGAAGCAAGATCAGATACTGACTGATGGAAAATTCTTTCAAAAACTACGAATTTTAACTTCTGAAACAAAATTCTTCTTCTGCAAGGAGTAAACAAAGGAAAAACATTTTCAAAGAATACTTGCAGTAAGTAAAAGATTCAGTTCCAGCACCCAAGTACATACAAAAATGGGGTTTTTAGGGTACAAAACAGCTGTGTTCCCTCTGCCCAACATTCTTACACCAGAAACCCTGTAATAATACTATAGAACATTGCTAGAGTGAAATTTTGCCATTTTAAAGAGGGAGGGAAAAAACAATCCAAGATTTTCTTTTATTTCTGATCTCGATCCCACCTTTCCAGTATGGTGGCACTGTCATTTCTATACTTAAATAAGGGCAAAGCTTACCTCTATATTGAAGACTGTTTGATAGGACCTGCTAAATAGAGCCCTGATACTATTTCCATTTTTAGAACAGTTGCTATAGAAATAATTCTGCCAATTTTTAATTGCAACCTCTTTATATTTCATGTGACTATCGGGAATTTAAATAAATTTTAAAATTTATTTTAAAGCAGCAGCAAAAAATATAAGAACATATAAAGTAGATTTCTGCTTATGTGCCATCAATTAAGCTAATAAAGAGTATTGTAACAAAGGCATCTTTTCTACATGTGAGCAATTCTAAGAATTATTAATAAGAATAATGAGTATAATATTTGCCTTATAATTAAATTCCATACTATAAACAGCTTTTAAGTTTAAACATTTTTAGTATTCTATTGCCATAACTGTTTTTCCATTTGAGCGCAGATTTAGTAAATAAAAATATATATGCACAAGTATTTACTCATACTATATGCATGTTTGTAAGTAATACAAAATGTAAAAAGAAAACAAGCATTTTAAATGTACATGGCATAGTTAAATAACTTCAATAAATATGCTGTTTGTTCTATACAAAGCCTTTCTTAAAAAAAAAAGTTTATAAAGAGTTTTATCCTCCAGTGTAAGGTATAATGGGGCATGTTGCCAAATGTGATCGCATTAGAAAATAGAATTTCGTAATCTAGATAATCTTAATAAATAAACAATAAATAGATAATCTAAACAAAACATCAGTGACCAAAACATTTGTACTGCTATTAAAGCACAATAACAAGCGGATGAAAAAAAATCTACTCTTTAAATTTTACTTTTGCTATAGAACCCTGTGTGTAAAAATTAAATTGTTCAAATTAAAAAGAGGGACAGTGTGTGAAACAGCCAAAATGTTCCAGTCATTCTAAAAACAGTTTGCAGTTGCTGTCAATAAAGTAATTCTACTATTATATATTTGAAAGAGTGTTTATGGGTTTCAGAGTTTGTTATCATATTTTGGTAACATGTAGGTAGTTGCTTACTTTACAAAGTATCTATTCATACAGAGTTGACAAAAATAATTGTCTGACAACAACATCCTTACTAAAAAAAATGACATGGCTATATATGAAATTAGGACTTTTTCTTTGGATTATTAAATAACTTTTTTCTTTGGATTCTCAACAAATATTTGTATTGAAATTCTTTTGTTCTCATTTTACAATTTTCATAGTTCAAGACACTGACCTTCAGAAAAATCAACTACCATCTTTCTGTCCTTTGACAATCAAGGTTAAATCAGCATTAACCCCCAGAGTATTATTTTAAGCACTATAAAGTACAGAGGAAACACCTCATCAAAATGGGTTAAGTCGTATTCCTGTTCCTAGTGGTGAAAAAGGATTCACTTTGGCCCACATCAAAGCATCATTCAGTGAAATAGCAGATTTTCCATCTTCAAGGAAGAACACAGGACCCTGCAAAGCAAAAATGTTTGGGAAGGAAAAGAAAAGGAAATTATACATGTATTGTGTAAAGGCCACAACAGAAAGCACATTTGATCTGAGAAGAACATAAAACCTCCTTTAGACCTACCTGCTATGTTCATATAGAAATTTTTTCCCACTCACTTAAAACTCTGATAACAGCTACACATTATGAATTGAGGGCACTTATGTTCCCAAATCTGTCAACTGAACCTTTTATATTATTTAAATTTTTAGTTTGATGTGTTTTATTGTTATTTTATACACGCTTGTCAACTATTCCAGAGTTAAATTTAGCTTGAATTAGAAATTGAGGTAACAAGCATTTTTCTTCAGAATAGTGTCCATATTTCATCGTGTCTATCATTATTTCTGCTGATCTGTGCTTTTTCCTATCCACAAAAACACCTCGGATATAATGCCTCCATGAATTGTTTGAAAACAGTGTCTACATGCAGTCTACAGAATAATTTGAAATATTTACTATGAAAAGGACAAAGTACTAGTTCATGTGATGGAAAAAGAGCTTTTTGCTAATTTATTTATTTCACAAAATCTGCTCTCAAACCTGCAGTTTAGTTTCAGTGCTTTCCTAAAGAGTTATGCTCTCCAAACTTGCTACGTAAAACTGGTAAACCCATACAAGTAGGCTGCTGTACTTCAGTAGAGTTAACCAGATAACTGATTTTGATTGTTGAGCTGATTTGCATGCCTAAAACCATGACTCCTAATGTAAGCTAATCCAGAAACAAGGATCCTGTAGATGACAAGCTGGTGACACCATATTTGCTATTCTTGTTGAATGCACTGTAACAGTGGCAGCTTTACATGGCTGTTAGCAAACGTTGAGAGTACAGTGATAGACAGAGACCACTGATCTAATCTGTAAGTGTTGAGAGCGAATTTTTTTAGATTAAGGGTGAGCAGTTGAGAATTTTGTCTACCTTAAAAATCCCACTAACATTTTGTAAACTCCAACTTTTGTCACAAAACTATCCATCCCACTTAGTCCCTAAACCACTCTGTTACTCTTTGGGCTGACTGACATCTTACACTGGACAGGGGAAACAGACTCAGCATCACCTAGGAAAGTAAATTCTCACTGAGGCATTGTCTGGAGTCAGGAGTAGTGCTTTCAGGATCTTTCAATTTTCTCTTTATTAAAATAACAGCATATGCTAAAGAGGTGCTATAAGGACTGATGTGTATTAATGGTAAAACTATGTGAGTGATGAATAAATATATTTGAATAGTCTTCTAATATCTGGATTTAATTAGCAATGAATTCCAAGTTTTATAGTATGCATTTCCAGAGTGATAAAAACCAAAACCAGAAAAATTTTAGTATGTGGATGAAGACAAATAATTTCATGGCTTTTATTTGAGCTCTGGTGAGGGAGTAGTCAATAAGATACACACACTTTAGACACAACATTTGGCAAAGGAAATTAAAATGTTTTGGATTTGGGAAATGACAACTATTTGATTAGACAATTCTGTATATAGCATTTCTTATATAGCAGATGTCACTGCCTGTCTCTTTTAACTCTGCTCCTGTGATAACAAGGTAAACATGTATCCAAACCAAATGATGGGAGGGACCTTTGATTTATGGCAACCTCACAAGTAGTCAGTGCTATCAGCAAAAAAACCACTTCAGCTCTCTGAACCCGTACCTGGATCTTTAGCCCTGTCAAACAGGAGGTATGAACATCTGAATGACTAGGAAGATTTGATCCAGTGACACAGTCTGGCCCAACCATTCCCTTCAGAGGCTCCTCCTGAATTCGCGATACGAGTACCGAATAGAGCGCTCTCTGTGATTCAGAGGGCGGGGTGCATGGCAACTCATCTGTAGGCCTAGGAATGTAAAAGAAATTTGGTTTTCAACTTTGCTTCCTAATTTCTGTTAGAAATTAAGACTTGCAAAGCAGTGACATTCAGACTTTACAAAGGGAATAAATTTATAACTAAACCATTAAATACTACTAGTCTCACTCACGGGAATTTTATATTTTTCCACCTACTTGTTTGCTTGTGTGCAAGCTCTCCATGCATCTAATTCCTCAGAAAGCTGTTCAATTTTCAAAGGTACAGATACTTCCCGTCTTTTTAAAAGCTGACTGAAAAGGAATGCAAGTAATTAAAGTCCAAATTAATCATAATAATGACAATTTTCTTAGAAGCAAAACATGATAGACAGTAGTAAAGCAAAACTATTTCTGAATGAATATGGAGTAACTGTGAACAAGAATTGATCCTTCACAATATACACTATATTAGACTTTAGTAATACTCATAAAAGTTATAAAAGTATAGCTTTAGATTTAAATTTTATTTCAATTATCCCTATTTACACCTTATTTAATTTGCTGTAATTTTTTTTTATTTGAGACCACTTTATATTTCAAGGCTATATGTATTTTTACTTCTTAATATTGTCAACTTTACTAAAATTAAGGATGCATTTTGCCTACTTATATCACATATGGTAAAAATGCTGTTAGAGAAACATGGTTCAACACATACTTTGGGACAGCCTTGTGTCACTTGCAGAAAACAGTTTCAAAGCCCTTACAAAGGATATATTTTTATGTATGAAAATATAATATAAGGGGCAGTTACTACCTGACCTAATTCTGCCATCTTTCATTTGTGTTAGGATACTTTAAAAATGTCCTGCTGAGGCATGTAAATTGTCCACTTTAAGCAGGCAAGTGCCCAGTTAAAGATGGGCTAGAACCTAAAAATCGGTGAGTCTTGAAGATATTGGGCAATCCAAAAACAAAACTTTGAGCGATGTTGTTCTGTGGTTCTTTACATAATAGGTAATTGAAAGTTTTACAGCCAAAAACATCACAAAATGAGTCTCATAGACTGCTTGTTACTAGTCTATTAGTATCCCTATCAAAATAGCCCTCCTGTAAAAGCTTGTATTTCATCTTGTTATTTCTTTAAGTTCAGAAAAGAAAAAAACAAACCCACAACAAATCCTCCTTTTCCCTTTTCCCAATACTCTCACCAAGTTTCAGACATGAGGATAGCTAAGAGGAAAGATGTTTAATTTTTTTGGGATGAGATGTGAAGAAGTGGGGTCAATGTATGGTATATGTCATAATAAGGACTGAGATTACTCAGAGTTAATGAAAACAGTCTTACCTTGTATACTCGTACAGTGCAGGTACAATGCTATTGTACTGTCTTCTGATAGCAAGTAAAGCACCAATGTAACCACACAAAATCAGCAACTCATTCCGAAATCTATAAATGAACAAGTATCAATCATGAAGAACAAAAAGCATTTGGAAAAATATTAAACAAACTAATATTCACCTTATAATTTTAAAACCTAATTTATCCATCCACCTTTTGTGGAGAATATGTGTTTGCTGATTATGCTTACTTTCTGTGTCATGGACTTGTTAGAAGAAACTCCATCTGCTTCATATTGATCTCTTTTATTAAATTTTAAATATACAACACAATTTTTAAGCACAATCATGTAAAGTTACAAAAACATCACTCAGACCTTTTAGTGTGATAGAACTCTAAATGTAAATAAAACTACCCCAAATATTAGTGCTGATTTCAGTTTCACCAAGTTTCCCCAACTTTTCTTTACTTTTCGTTCTTCACACATGTACTTGTGTAGGCACGTAGGCCTGGCTTCAACCATTCTTCATAAAGATGAACCAGAGCTATTCAACTATTTTAGAGTTAATTCTGAAAGTGGCAGCCCAACATTCCTTAGTACTTTGACATAAAAGCCTACGACACCACTTCAGGAAACTGAAACCAGAGCTGATCAAAGTGAAGCTCTTCACATGAAACCAGCATTGATTCACACATTGTAAATATTCCACAGAGAAAGAAGCAATAAAATGTATTTTTTTTCCTTGCTAAACCTTCAAAATTTGGGAGAGTCTACATTCTATTCTCCAGACTGGAAACAAGCATGCTTGCTGGATTTTTTTGTGTCCCTCTTCTGTTAAACAAAAAAAATTATACTAACAGGGTGCACCTATATATATATGTGTGTATATATATATGTGTGTGTATATATGTGTGTATATATATACACACACAATCTGAAAGATTTAAGGAAAGTTTCACTTTTCTAAGTCAGGAAAATATACTCACTCACTGCACTTAGACAACATTAGCTGTTCAGTCCGTATGTAACTTAGAAGATCAAGATATGGAAAGACTGAATCTAATGTCCAATCTGAGCCACAAAGTTGTTCTGTTGAAAAATAAAATGAAAAATATCTCATGAGGCAAGCTATACAAATGACTTTTGCTTTAAAAATTTTCTTCATCCAAGTACCTACCTTTCACATACTGAATGCCAACAGGGAGAGCCTTTTCAGGTTCTGTGCTTAAGAGATAGTACTTTATTGTTTCAAACACATCCCCATCTGCCTGCATTGTCTCTGCCACTCGCATGCATTCTTCCACATCAGGAAGATTACACTGGAAAACAAACATTTTGCGAGAAAATTACTGAAATATTCAAAAACTTCTCTAAGATGCAGAGAAACACTGATGTTTGCACATAACACTAAGAAAAAATTCTCTCTGAAGGAGTCATTGAAAAGCATATTTGCATATAATGCACATTAAGAAAGTCATCTAGACCAGAGCAACACTCCAAAATGTTCTGTAACTTTAATTTAAGCAGTACCAGTTTTCATTGCTAATGTTTCTGTGAAGTTTTTACTACTGTTTAATAAACGTGCAGTCTGAGTTGCAGCCTAAGGGAGTGCAACCCAAGCAGATGCTTCTGCTGCTGAAGAGGAAAGGGGGCATTTATGGATATTACAGGCATAAGATGTAAAACAATTCGGATTATAGAAAGTTGATCGTTGAAAACATGATTAGGCTGCACATCTAGTAGGTTATAAATCATACTGACAGGTAATTCTGAAGATCATAAGCTACTTCAGAAAGTAACGTGTATCAGGAAAATAGTGCACAAAGGATAGAAATAAAGAACTAAATTTATTGTACAATACTGAAAACGAATTCAACAAAGACTAATAGAGGTGAAAACGATATGTTATATATAAGACTGTGGAGACAAATCCTATGGTTTTATATGGCCTTATGTTTTTGAAATTAGTAAATAAATCAATACAAAACCTTATTAGATTCAGGTAAGTTCTTTTACGTTGTACCTTTTCATGCAGGTCATTTATTTCTGCTATGCATCCAGGATAAAAAGCACATAGTTTTACTAACTGCAGTTTATTATCAGGAATCATCATAAGAAGATCAACTGCTAAATCCCTGCACAAACAAAAAATGACATGTAGTTACTCTTGATGGTTTGTAATAGAAGGAAACTATTTTCTCTTTTACATTCCTTTTATAAAGAAGAGTTTACTGAAAAAATACTATTTCCAGAGAAGTGTAGAAGCATCCTCAGTCTCTAAGACTATCTTTGTTCAATAAATGAGGCTTAATTATTCATTAGGAAAGTAATTAATTAATTTTCTGTTGCTTTAGTTGGTTGAATTAAACAGCTGTGCAATTCTTAAGGATCAGAACCATCTCAAAGTGGAATGGAAGAGTATGTAAGCAGGGATGGGAAAGGAGAGTAGGAACCCTCAAATCTGAGAGAAGCAAATCTGATAATGTGGTTCTGTGTCATGAAACTATCCTCAGAATTCCAGGCTTCTAAAGCATCATGACAGCAATGTAGGACATCTGTTGGTACCATCCAGAATGGCTTGGTGCTCATGTGACATTGAAATAGAGAGATTGTATAGGAAAAGAATGTGATACCTATTTTCATCCTTCTCAAGGGAAAACTGTTTTAAAAAACCGACATTTTTTCTTATGTTTTCCTAAACTTTTTACCATTTGTTACCCTATCCTTCACACAACAAACAGCTGAAGGGAACATAATACTAAGAAATTATTTGAGAATTTTTCTATGTAAGTTTTAGTAACTAGTTATTCTGTGACTCTTCTATTCATACAGACATCATTTCTTCTGTGAACCTCAAGACTGACTTGCCCCTGTGTAAGGCAAAAAATCCTACTGATTACCTCTGGATTTTCAGTATGTTGTCCTGAGCTTAAAAATATTCAAGTAAGCTATTATCCAATATTTGCAACTGCTTTCTATCTCACTTTCAAGTATTAATCACAATTAAAAATTAGGACATAGAGAAATTTGAAAAGCTTGTGACTTTACTAAGGGAAAAAATAAGCTTGAACTTTCTCCAGAAAGAAAAATACCTGTATCCAAGTGATGGAAAGCTAAAAGGAAGACATTGAAACAGTATTGAACAAAATTTTGTAATATCTTACAGAGAAAATATCTGACAGAAAATAATTAAACTACAGCAACAAATCTAAGGGTCAGGGCAACTGACTTCAACAACAACAAAGCTTTCTATTTTATACCTTTTGACAACCTAAAGAAGCCATGCCAGCAGGTCTTTAGAAAATCTGTGATATTATTATTGTGCAACAGCCACTTTTCCAAGTTACAGAAGCATTCTTTCAGAATCTAGGATATTTCACAAGTTCTAAAGCTATTTTCAAGATCACATACTCATATGTGCTAATATTCATAAGCAATTTAAACATTTTTAAGTGATTAGAAATTGTCTTGTCAAAACCCTAAATCCAATATCCATTTGAAAAAAAGTAATTCAAAGAAGCACTTATATGATGGCCTACAAATTGTGCTACCTGGAATGACTTTTAAGAATCTGGAATTTTTAAGAAACTGGAATGATTTTTAAGAATCAAACTGAAAACACTGTTGAGTATAAAGATCAAAAATGAGGTGGCTGAATTTGCATATGCAGAATTCAGTCTCTGAAGTAAAATATGACTAGATTTTGAATAGTAGAAAGTTGCTTTTGACAGTATTTAGGTATTAAATACAAATAAAAATATGTCCTTAAACACTCATACATTTTTTCAAGGCTCTAGATTTGGGAAAGTTTAGTTTTAAATTATTTTTTGGCTTGATTTATATTTTAGAGCATTTTTAAAAGTAACCAACCAAAACCCCAGAAACACTCCACTAGTAACTGATTTCTTTATTAACCCACCAGGATCCTTCTAGTATTCCTTTGGCTGTCTGCAATTAAGTGCTTCGCTACAGTGAAATGTTTGCAACTAATGCATATCCTTAAGCATAACAACCAGTAAAAATGAAAAGGGAGCTCTTCAAATATCAGAGACCCTTGAACTCCAGCTTCCCTATACATGATCGTATGAGTACAGCTAACCAAGGGAATTATGCTGTGTGAAAACCTCCTTATGAAAAAACGAAGAGATTAATGAATCTCAGATCTTTTCCTACAGAATATAAAAAATATGCTTCAATGGCTGAGAATCAGAATCCCGGATTGCAATGTGTTCAGTATAGTGTGTGAAACCCATTGACAAATCCAGATGTATACTTGGGCAATATGCAGTACACATACAATATGCAATATGCAGTAAAAATTAAAATTTGATCATGTATACCCATGTAGACTTCAGTGTACACATGCTGTAAGTTTACAGAAGCTTTATAGACATAAACATAAATGCCATACCATTATAAGCACTAATTACAGCCCTGAGATCAGAACAAGCTTTTGTTATGGAACTGGAAAAAAATACACTGTTTTTTAACTCCACGTCCAATACTTTCTATCAGAGGCTATAAAAATCACCCTTCACAATGAAGCAGCTTCAGACAGCTTAAAAGCTGCAGATGGAATTGCCAAAACAACTCTATTAAGACTGGTGCAATGCAGACACGCTAAACCATTGCAAAATAAAAGCAGCAAGTCACCACTTTCTTATTTTATCTTTTTCTACAATGTTTCATTGTCTAATGAAAGCTAAATGTTCTGTAGAAAGAACTTCCACTATGTTTCTCTCTCAGGCTACGTCTAGATACATTAGCAAATACTAACTGTAGAAGAAAAACTGATCCTTAACTGTTTAAGTACATATTTCTATGAAATGTTAATTACAAACCAGTTATAGAGCTGCCAAATACACCTTAGGAAGGTTTTCTGGTTTTTCATTGTTAGATAAAAACCAAGAAGTTGTATTCTTCAAAGTAAAAACCACTACAATGAGGAAAAGAAAATTTAACACAAAAGGCTTCCCCTATATGCAAGAAAGAAGTTACTTCTGCAGAATTAAATAGCAATCCTGTTTCATCCTTAAATCTTTGCAGGATTCTTGTATTCCTAATACCAACAGAAGATGATTCCTCAGACTTGTAGTTTTATATTTTTCAATCAAGTACTTAAAAATCACTTCACATATACTACTTGAGATGTTCCTTTTGACTTTTTAACTCAATTCAATTACTTTTTTTGAAGCGTTCTTTTTACTCAGTACAAACTAGGACTTCATAAGCTACCTATTCTCAAGTAGCTAGGGTTTTTTTCAGTGGTTGTTATACTCTGACAATGAGTCCTCTCTCATTTACAATGCATATGGAATGTATTTAAAGCAGAACATTTGCATGGCCTGTATTTCAAAGGTCTAATATAGCAATACTTATTCAAGGAGCACTTTATATTCTCCCTTCCCGTGGTGGCTTGATCTCTATAAAGCTTCACAATGACACACCTTGATTGTTTTGTCAGGGAGAAAAAAACAGTAAAACATTTTTGGATTAAGAAATTCTTACCATGTTATTACTGCCATACATTTTCTTGCTAGTAATTCTAGGGCATAATATGTTGCTTGTGCTGCACTTTCTCCCAAGATAGTACCCACACTGATTGCCAACTCCAGTTCATTTCCACGAATCAGGTTTGCCATCGCAAGCTTGCTCAATGAAAAAATTGTATCATTAAGAGACATGAGCAGTTTTGGGTATTCATCATGTTCAGCACATGACATTCATTTATGAGACTTTTTACAGAAGGACAAAATATGCAATAATTAAACTCAATTATATGTATTTTGTGTCTCTTGAATGCGTATATAATTGTGCACCATGAGTTAATGTGTTTTTAAACAATCAAATAGATTTCCCATAGCAGAATCTTCCTTTATTCAACTGAAGAGATCACATAAAAACAATATCTAAAATGCATGCTAGGAATTCCATCTAATCTTAAGGACACTAGCATTCAGAGTGTGTATTTCCCCCTCTCTTTCAGTGAAAGGAGACTCAAAAACCCAAGAAAAGGGGAAGGACTGTCTTGTTCTTACTCTCTGAGCAATCACAGTTACCGACAGGCATAGCAGAATGTCAAATTGTACTGAAATACCCATATTTCCAAACTGGAAATATGCCTATTTAGAAATAAAGGAATTAACTGATTCTCAGTTTTTCTCAGAATAGCTTATTGGGATGGAATTATATTTATTTGGAGGGACAGAGGAAGAAAAATGTGTTAAGTCAGCAACAACAAAATCCAGATAAAATGAGGAAAAGAAACAATTTCTAAAACTACAAGCAAATTAAAAACATAATAAAATATTTCCTACATGTCAGTTCTATTTTTGTACTGAGGGGTGGGTTTTACTTTTCCTATTTACTTCTTCATTTAGACTGCAAATTCTTCAAGGTGGATGATTGCATCTTCTTTAGCACAATAATTTCCAGTTTTGAATGGGTATTTTGAGTCACCATAAACAGTAACACTTAGATGTATATATCTAAGGCACTTAAGTGTCTCATATTGTCTAATATAAGAAGATATTGTAAATAAAATTCAGCAGCAACATGCTACCTTCTGTGCATGAGAGAAACCTTGAATTTAATAGAATCAAGGGAGTTTTGCTACTAACTTTAATACTATAACCATCTAACTCTGCGTAAATATAAAAAAACTAAATGCCAAATACCATTTTAGAATGTGATACATATATTTTAAAATGTGTGGAGATGTAAAAAGGAAGTCAAAGTTGGCTTTTTCATCATTAAAGAAAAAAAAATTACCTCTATATTTTCAACAGCCAGATGACAACATGCTGCAAGCACTGCACGGCCATCCTGGAAATACCAATCTGCCAGTTCTTTACTGACCTTCTGCAGGAGACTGCAAGAACAAAAAATGAATTCTGCAAGGTCACTTTAAGTTGAGAGTGCCTTGGGTCTTAATTTATGTAAAATTCACCACTTAAATTATGTAAAATCCTTCTGTACCCTAAAAGTTGCTATATTTGTCTCACAGATAATGACACTACTAGCTTGAAAAATGCAATCTGAGCTTCATCCACTACTTATTTTGTATACTGAGGTGGGTCAGTTACCCAAACTTTACATCAGTAGGAAATGTCTCTTCAGATTGACAGAAGAAAAATCAAATATTTGGATATCCAATCTGTACCTGTAAACCCTGCACCAGTATTTCTCTAATTGCTCAAAAGCTGCTCATGTAAATGAAGTAACTACATAGCCTCCAAACTGGTTTTGTTACTACTCCTATAATTTGAAAACGTAATTCAGTTTTTTGATCGCTGTTCTAGACAAGGTGAGGTGCACGTTTGGGTTTTTTAAATGGGCATGGACAGTGAGAATCATAGAATCATAAAATGACTCGGGTTGGAAGAAACCTTAAAGATGATTCTGTTCCAAGCTCCCTGCCATGGTGGGGGATGACTTCCCCTGGCCTGGGTTACTCAGAGCCCCATCCAGCCTGACCTTGAACACTTCCAGGGTTGGAGCATCCTCAATTTCTCTGGGCAACCTCTTCCAGCACCTCACCACTCTCACAGTAAAGAATTTTTTCCCAATATCTAATCTAAACCTACTCTCTCAGTTTGATTTTTATTTCACATAATCAGAATCTTCACTGATGACAAACAGCAAAGCTTCAGGAGTTGATTATGTGTAATAACAGGGGATCACAGATACTTGTTAATGCTAAAACTCACCAAAAGTTCTCGGTTAATATGCTATATGTTTTAGTGCACGGGAATGCATCTTAAATAGCAAGCAAATGAAAATTACAATTATAATTATAATACACACATATGAAAAATCCATATTGTGTCAGGAGGCACCATAGGGAAATTAGTGTAGCGACAGGTAGTTAGTAACTCTACTAAGTATTAGAAGATCCAATATTTTGTTGACTCTACATTGCTGATGCCAAATTAAACTACTATGTCATTTATCTCCCTTAATGACTTTACACTCTACAGTAAAATGAGGTTTATAGTTATAAACTAGAACAACTTACTCATTATAATCATCTGTATTATCTCCACCTGGATTTGAAGTTCTGCTTGTTGTGGAGAGTGGTAACATCTGTATATTTCCTTCACAAGCTGCCTGGAAGTGAATAAAATATAGATTAATTAATGCAGAATTCCAACTGAAGATAAAAAGGAATTTTTCAATAACAATAAAAATCATCTAAGATCTATAAAAAAATTCTAAAGCCCACTTGTAATAAATAAAATGTTTGAATGTTTAAACTAATGAACTTATTCATAGCTAAATCTCAGCCTAGTTTTATCTAGCTATACAAGAATTCAACCGAAGCAGGACACTTCTTCCTTCCTATGCATTTGTGCAGGATTTTTCAGCATTGGGGTATAATGGATGGTGAAGGCTACAACCTTGATTTTTACATCCCAAGGAGCAAGCAGCTCTGAGGGAAGGATGAAGTCCATAGATACTTCTCAGCAGGTATACCTGCAAATCTGGAAAGATCTGGCATATAGTGGCTTAAGGTGGACTTTTCTTTGTATCTGGCAATAATTAATTTCTAACATTAAATACAAAGAGATCAATGAGGGCTAAAATAAAATAAGTTGACAAAGTGGTGGTTGGTCAAAGGTTGGACTCAGTGATCTCAGAGGTCTTTTCCAACCTAATTGATTCTGTGATTTTTTGAAATTCTTTCACATGCTTTAAGATGTAGCTGGGATAACACCATTAAACCTCAGGGCTCAGTTACAAGGAAAGATAAATCCTGGCACTTTATTGCTCATTATTATCTTATTAAACTTTTGAGACAAAGAGTATTCTATGAATTGTAATATCTCTCCAATACCTCTCTTACATGAAAAATTAGGATCTTTCTGAATCTTTAACTTGCTTTAAAGTTCATTAAGTTCATGTTAAACATTACAGCTTTTTAAATCTCAGCATGTGTCAAAGTTACATTCTGTAAATTATCCAGCTATTTAGCTAAAACATACTGACGATTTTTCAGTAGAAATTAAAGAGAAATCAAATCCTACATGAATTTTATGTTAAGGGCTGTTGAAAATCAGGTTCCATTTCAATTGAAATTGAACACATTAGTTTTCATTATGGTCATTTGGTTGCAGTTTAGAAAAATCAGTCTTTAATTCTGTAAACATGAGATACCTCCTTCTTATGATTTCTGTATAAAAACTGGTCAATACCACATGGAAGTAAAGACTAAGGCATCATTATTCAGCTATTTTGCCTTTTAAATATGCATGTCATATTCTGAATTACAAGCTAAGAGATAAATATATATATCTCCCACACTGGTATATATGTAGTAGTACCTGTGCAACAAGTAGAGCCTCTTTAAGCTGACCTCTTGAAGTAAAAAAAGAAACCAGTTTCTTCACATCTCCAACAGCTATACAGTATGGGATGACATCATCATTTTCTTCCTGAATTAACTGATCAGCTCTCCTAATTAAACAAATGAAAAAATAAACAAGAAAGATCTATGTATATGAACAATCACCAATCTTATCTATATGGTTTAGGTGTTAGATGAAGCCAAATAAAGTTCGCTGAAACTCATCTGCCTTTCCAGACTTACAAACTGTGAATACTGCATTAAAGAGTTTATAAAGTTGCAATTTATGTTCAACCCTTTGATTCTTGTACACAAAGTTACAGCTGAAATACACCGCAGTTCTATCCCGAGCTTACTAAACGAAAAGTAACAACACTAGAACACTGTAACAAAAGAAAAGTACATCTGGTAATAGTATCCATCCCTCCTACTTGTCTGTGTCTTTTTATGGACTACAACTGACCATTCTAATTAACTTACCTTTGCATTAACTTCCTCCAATATTTCATTGATACACCAGGTGCAACTGAGAGAGCTTTGTCCCACTAGAAGAAAGCAACAATACGTTCAACTTGATAATTTCCATTTGAGAAACAGCCATATTTTAAACTAGTCTAACTTTTCTTCCATTAAAAACAAATTTGTCAAGAGTTAAAGAATGAATTATGCTTTGGACTGGATATGTTAAAAATTAGTGGAAGATTACTCTTTTGGGGACTTGTGACCCATTCATTGCCACCCCATCTTTGCTAGGGTAGCTGGTTTTCAGAAACCTTCATATATTTTTATTCTTCAATAATGTTCTGATATTTTACCTCTCCAAGTTCTACCATTAGCTCACAATATCGCTGAATTTGTCCTAATCTTAAATGTATTTCTGCAGCTTCTTTGAGTCTTTCCTCTTTGCTTGGTGCACCAATACCACCTCCAAACTTAGACATCTTTACTGTTGTCAGTTCTTGTGCCTTGGACTGAGGGAAAAAAAAAAAAAAGATTAAGAAGTTTTCTGTGATGAAAACAAGTTTTCTCAAAAATGGACTATTGCCAAATATTACAGTGGAATACAAAGGATATAATTTAAGAAAAAATACTTTAGAGAAAAGGCTAATTGGAAGAGATTTCAATGAGATTTCAGTGAACTATATATATGTTGTTAAAGTAAATGTCTTGGTGTTTTCTTGTTTTACATTTTCCTTGATTGTCTTCCTATAATAACTTAATTATTCTATTCTCATATATAGATGAAATGTCCCTCATAAAAATCTTGATATTTTGAAACCTAAAAAAAAATTGTGAACATAAACCATACAGAGTTGAAAACTGTACATATTCCCATTATAATGATGATTATAATGATGTCCACATAAAGAAATAACAAAGAGAGCAGGCTTAACTGGTAGACAACAGGCTCTGTGGTCTGTCATGTCCCATTAACCTTATGGCAAAGAAATTATTTATATTCCCAACTACTGCTATTTTTATATTAGTTGGGAAGATAAGACTAGATTTCTTCATCTGGCACAGTCTGAGAAACAAGCTGCAACAGAATTATATATAGGGAAAAAAAAAAGCAAAGGAAGATTCCATTTCAAGAATTCTCAGTTGAATTCTATTATCAATGCACAATGATGGCATTTGGCAATTCATGACTTTGCAGTACCATAATGGAAGATGGAGAACAAATTTTGAACATTCTTCACCTAAGTAAACTGCCATGTAGACCAATGGCATCTCCCAGGGATCTGTTTCTCCAAAATACATAATACATTCATTATTTTTCCTCAGCGCCTCCAAATTTTTTATTAGTTTCATGCTAAAATCTCCAATGCATCCTCTCTGTTTCCTAAAAACAGAGTTGCTCTACATCTTTATTTCATCCTGAAATGTGTAGGTGCTGCAGTGCCATTATTTAGTTTCCTAAGGAAAAGAGAGTATTAGCAGTCCTTAACAAGTAGTCAGCATTACCCTACCCCATACTTTCTCTTAAAGCTCTCAAACAAGATTCTGAGTCAGCAAGAAGGAGAAAAAAATGCTTTCAATTAATGTGGACACTTAATCTAGGGCCACAGAATGACCAGCAATCACTGTAGTTACTCTAGGTCATCAGTTATAAATGCATGAAATCATGCTGCAGGGATAAACAGCCTGCTGGAACTGCACAAGTCAAAATTTAATGTCTTCTCAGGCCAACTGGCTGAGAAAACTGATTTTTTGGACACATGGGCACACAAACAGAACTTCATAGCATTAGCAGAACAGCTGGTATTATTACACTGAACAACACTAATAAACTTTAATCACTGGAGAGTCACAAGGAACGTAGGACACTCTTAAAGAGCCTGTGATTTTCCAAAAAAGAGAGCATGTAACAGCAAACAACAGGTGATACCTGGCAAGTATTAGTCCTGGGGCTGGTAAGTGCATTCCATACCAGCAGATCATCTTTCCTCTATTTACAATCCAATCATTACAGTATGGGATTCCTTAGTACTCGTAAGAACTTCCTAACAGAATGATGAATCTGCATATTCTACACGAACTGTGTGTCTGATTGCATATTCATAAAAGCAGCTACTAATAAATTTATGTCTTAGCACTTGAATTTCCTATTCTCATCCAAGTCACTCTTAAGCTGCATATCTGTATTAGGGACAGATTAGTGACAGTTTCTTGCCATTCCTTCCTCTGAGAGCTACAGAACATATTTCTGCTGACTCTCCTCCATTTTCAGACATGAATTCCCCTGTCTGTACATCTGAACATAGCTGCACACTTCATGTTTATACAAGCAAATAATTTGACTTTAACGGAGCATAAAAGTCCAGTGTATATAATAGGTAAGACAAACTCACTTCATAGCTGAAACTGTAGTGATGATTGCTTTGCAATTTCTTATCTTGAAAAATGCTTTTATAGTTAATAACTGTAACCTAGTATTTAACACTGACTATGCATGAAGTCACACAGACTCAGCTAGGTACTATTGTAACAGACTAGTATTGCAGTGAAGAACTGGTATTTCACAAGTATCTTTGGACATGAAATTGTGGCCTTTTGTAAAGCATCGAATATTATTTTTAAATAGTGAAATACAACATGGACTAACAACCATTTTCACATATTGTTTGTGCTTCACTTACCAGTCTAAATCTAATGAGGTGTTTCATATGCATAATTCCTTTGCAGTAGTTTTGTGGAAGCAAACTGTCATCCTGTCCTTTTATTACAGCAACCAAATCCCATAAATTTTTGCTGCCTCCTGGAGGCTAAAATTGTTAGGGAAGAAGAGTTTTATTACAGTTATGTTCAAGAGAGAAACTTGAACTTTTAAAGACATTGGAAAACATTTGTCAGTCAACTCCAAGAAATATTATTTCAGATAATTTCAATATTAGAACCTTTACTATGAAAACATGAATTAGTTCAAGATACTACAAGTCCTTCAGTCTTCTTGAAGGCTGTAAAGATACAGTGATATCCATGAACCTATTTGGTTATATGTGGACCAAGCTGAGGGCTCACCATTAGAGTTTTCCCTTTTGCTCTCAAAAAAATACAAGCTATCTTGTGTCTACTGCTGGCACAAACCTACAGTCAGCTGCTGGCATGCAGGAGCTGACCCAGGACTTGTTTACCTCTCTGCAGAGCAAAGGCATGAGCCAGGTAGAAAAGAGCTTCAAGGCTTGACTGCCACAACCTGTTTTACTATCTTAATATTAAATCTTAAAATAGACACATTTAGTATAATGGTATATGCATAAAATATGACTTTTTAAAAATAAATATATTTTAAGCATTTCTATTGGTCTAGCCTTTGAATGAATCCTTCTGTAGAAACAGGACAACAGTTTAACACTGAAGTCTAGAGGTGAGTGAGTATTCAAAAGCTTTAAAAAATCATTAAACCTTTGACCTAAAGAAGCTTTTCTGAAAATAACAAGATCACAAGTTTAGAAGTCCAGTTATGTCTGAGCTGGTAAAAAGCATGAAATCCTACTAGGGAAATTCCCCCCCTACTCAAAAAGGAAAAAAGCCAATTAAAAAAAAAAAATCCCCCTACACTCTCTTTTTTCTGTTCACTAAAACTCTTATTAGACTCCTTATAGTTTACCACATTACCTCCTTTTCTGGACTTAAAAAGCACATTAGCATACCTGATCAAAAAACCCTTTTTTTCTTGGAAAATTCTAGTATTCTGAAAACAATTTTACTCTCAAATCAACATGGGAAATCAAAACTTATAACTTCTGTAAAACAAGGAATTACATAAATATATTTTTAACAAAAGAGAAGACATCTAAGTTTGAAATTGAGAAAAATTGTTTCATCATTTCTAAATTGTACACTTCAATTTAGCTAGAACTGAAACCAAATATTTTGGATGAACTTGGTCTTTTTTAGATCAGTGTTTTGACTTAAATTACAACAGTGCTTGACACAAGCTCTAGTAGTAGTAGAACCTGTAGTTTCAAGTCCTTTCGTCCTTGTTCTACCTCAAGAGCAGTTCCTATTCAGGTAAGAACTCATAGGAACCTGTATTTTTAACTCATTTGCACTGAGAGGGCAGCAATTTATGGAGAATATTACTGTGCAATGGAAGAAAGGCAATAGATGGATACTGAGGCATGGATCATCTGAATCTACAGTTCCTAAAACATAAAGAGCAGTTTGGGCGCAGACGCTTGGGACAGTTCAAACCTTATCAGTAATAAGGGTGTTCTTTTGATTAATTAAATGATGAATTAAAAATTTTAAAGCTCTAATGCAGTTTGATTAAACACATAATTTCATTTTCTTCAATAGTAAATTGCTGATAAATTAACCTTTCCTAGAGAAAATAATATTGTTTCACTAATTTAACTTTGAAAAAAGCTCGTTTGCTTTTCACAAAGTTCACAACTGACAAACAATTCAATCATGGACATTTTTATATGCCGACCTGTTAAGAAATGAACTGATTCCTGCCTATTTTCTAAGCTCCCTTCAAGGAAGAGAGGAAAAAATGGTAGAGAAAGAAGAAATCTCAATTTTGGAGATTGACTTCAGAAAAGAAAGTCATGGACATTGATAACATCCCTAAGTTTGCAGAATACTTACTGAAAAAAATTCTGAAAACCACCTTAGTTTTTTCCCTTGCGGATTTCCTGACAATTTTTCCAATTCTTGTTTAATATCCCTGGAAACTTTACCACACAGCAAAGGAGAAGCTCCAGATTCCACAGCGCGATCTAACACACACAAAGATTTACATATGAAATTAAAATAAAAAACAATCAAATAAATAGGAATATTAACATTTAAAAAATTGAAACAATGGTTTATATAATTTGCTTACCTGTATTGCCAATAATATCATCCCAGCATCTGTCTGTTATGATATTTATTTGCAGAGGGTTTATAAGAGGTGTCAAGGACCAGAGTCTCACAGTGGAATCACGAGAGCAGGATGCCATAGTAAATGGACGACTAGGATGACACGTTAATCCTGGGAGAGGGGATATTAAAAATGTAGTCAAATAAGTTCATCTGATAATCTGTCTGATAAAATTACTTTACAAATTTCAAAACATATTAGAATGCCTTTCAATACAGAAATAAAATTTAAAAGATATTACCATATACATCTGCACCATGATCATAAACTGTGTCCAAACATGTTCCATCTCTTGTGTCCCAGACTCGAATTGTATAGTCCCAACTGCCAGATATTAGAAGGTAAGGAATTTCAGGATTCCACATTAGTCCCCGTACTGGAGCTGTATGTCCACTAAGAACATTTATACAAGCATCTTGTGTATAATCCCATATCCGAACAGTACTGAAACAGGATAAAAGAGAACAGTCTACATCAGATCAGATCACCTATTGAACTATAATTATATCTCTGCTTCAGCGATATTTTAAGCTTCAAATTTATCTGAATATTTATTTGCATCACAATAGGGCTCAAAGAGTTGTAGTGAAATGTGCTAAATTTGGCTAGTGACTGGTCACCAGGAATGCTTCCAGGAGTTCAATTCTAAGGTGAGTCCTGTTCAGTGTATTTTATTGTCAAGAAGTTTGCTATCAAGTTTTCTCCTGTCATGAATCAATACACTATGAACTAATAGATTTTGCTTCAAGCATAAACTTCTAATAAATGATAGGGGGAAAGCAACAGAAGCCAAAACTCCAAACTTTACAAAATATCCTTTTCAAAAATATCTTGTAGGGAAGGTCTCCAGGGCAGTGGCTTAGAATCATAGAAAAATGCTTCCTCTTGCTTACCACAGACTGATGTGCTCTCCCTCAAAAGCAATGGCATCAAACCAAAAACTAGAAGTATCTAATAATACTCATTAAAATTCTCTACAGATTCTACTTATGTATACTTTTGAAAAATATCAAATAAGACCAGGTCTTGCACCTGGTTTCTTCAGATGTAATGTAAACATGTGGTATCCTCCTTGTGCTAGTCCTTGCAGTAACAGTATCAGGCTACTCTTGGGAAAGCATTTGGAATCTTGCACTACTACAGCAGTTGTGACAATTTTAGATAATGATCCTGCTGCCCAAATACTATATAAAGCTAAGAGCAAAGCTAAAACCTGGATCTGAACCATGCAGAGATTTAGATTATTAAGTGTTGACAACACCATTACAAATAAAGATGTTTCTTCAATAGTCCTGCTTGAAGTTCACATTTTCTAACAGTTCAGAAATACTCACCCATCATCAGAGCCACTGCAGAGGATTCCTTCTCTGAGAGGAGACCACCGTACGTGGAACACCTTTGCAGTATGCCCAGTAAAAACTTTCAGTGGTTGATCAGAGCTGGTTGCCAAGTAGTAAACACGAACATTTTTATCCTCACAACCAGTAGCTATCATATCTCTGCAGAATAAAAACAGTAAAATCCTTGGTCACAGAGATGATTAATGCTTTTTTAAATTTAAAAGAAATATTATGTGTAATTTGTGACTATTTTTTTAAATAGCGAAATTTTTGCTTCTCCTTCATCTCTTCAAGATGTAGCTATCGATAATCCAATTAAAAAAACTAAATCAGAAAAAACCTGATAAAGATCCATTGGTTGCAATGGGGAATATATTTGTGCTAGTCTGACTATGCACCAAATACACATGATACAGATAACTATTATTAAATTGAGTTTTTTTTTTTTTTTTTTTCAGAAAGGTGTCGTGTCATTATTAGGAATTATCTACAAAATTTAGGTATAATGACAATGTACTTAGTTATCTGCTACATTTTCACCTTTACAGTCATTACAAGGACACCAATCTAAACCCCTTTTTACTGGTATTGAATGTCTTCATTTTTCTCCTCATCATATATTCAGCTAGATAATTTTTTTTTCTCTCATCAATATGAAACAATCTTCCTTTGTAAATTAAGAAAGTTCATGGTGGTCAATGAAATATACTACTGGGAAAAGAGAGCTGCTATAGGTATATCTATCTTTGGAACAGATAACTTCAGTGTTTTACTATCACAGTGAATATCAATTCTAGCTAACTTTGTGTTACTTTACTGGTAATCAATTTAAATAGTAAATATTGACAATTCTTTGGGTTAATTTTTACTTACTTGTTGTTTTGACTCCAATCACAGCCAAACACTGCAGCTGGATGCTTGTACTTGTGAAGAACATTGCCATCAATGGTTCGAATAATACTGCAACCAATTACAATGTGATATTATAAGGAAAAATACATTCTGGCTAGGCTATCCAAAATTAACTTTTATTCTGTGCAAATAAGCCAGAGACCAAAAAGATATACACAAAGAATAGGAGAAATAGCCACAAATTATATCAGCCCCTCAATTACAACATCTAACTTGACTTCAGTATCTATGTTTCTTCAGAGGGGCTTTAAAGATTTTCAGTGTGGTACATCTTTCTTGAAAGGATCGTCATAGCCCAGAATTAAAGTTGTAGTCATGGCTTTAAGGTAGAAATAGATCTTTATGAATTATAAAGAAAGTTGATTGTTTTCTAAAATTTCTGCCCATTATGTTTGAGCTGGAATGACACAGGTAGCAGAGGAAACAAAGAAGGATTTTTAAAATGTGCTGAAACACAATATATGCAAAACTAATTTCAATGGACATACATGCGTTTTTAGAAATGAAGTATTATATTCCTGTGATAGTGCATTTGTAATAATTTTATTCTAAAATAGTACTTTTTAGTCCTTGAAACAATAAACTAAAAAAAAAATTAATTAAGACAAGTTGGATGGCTTTTGAAAATGTCCTCTATAGATAAGAAACCTAGAAGTATGTTCTTGTCCAAATAAAAATCAGTATTTAGTTTCACTGTCAGTGTGTTTAGATACTATTACTTTTGAAAACATTTCCTTTATTTTTTTCTTAAAATAATGAAAAACATATCCTAACAAGTACAGAAGACTAATATAATTTTTGTCCAGTAAGAAAAGTTTTAAAATTAATTACTGAGAGTACTGTAAAAATTTATGGATTTGAGAAGTGCATTTAGCAATTTTTTTCTTCCAATAACACTCACCAAAATCCATCACTGCTGCAGGTTGCTATTCTTTTGGAATCTTTATGACTCCAGGCAATGCAGAAGATTCCATTCTTTCCATGCTTCAAAAAATGCAAAATACCTATCAATAAGAAATAATTCACCCCTTTTTCTCTCATCTATTGACTCATCTTTTTTATTTTATGCTCCTATGGGCTTCAGCCTTTTTTCCCAGTACAGTATACTGTACAAACCACATTATAATGAGTGCCCAATGCAAGCTGGATGTTTGACCATCCAAGTCCAAAACATTAGGACTATGGAGATAGGTAGTAAAACTGCTAGAGCTTCCAGGATCCAAGAGACAAAACTGAGTTATGCTGAAGAATGAGCAATCCATAACTATATAAACCTGAAGCTTAAATAAAGAACACTGTGGACAATCAAGAGGGACCTTTGGGCCTTAGGATGACTGCTCAAGGGATGTGAAGCACAAGTTGTGTTCTCTTCTGTCCTGCCAGTTGCAGGGAATGGTGAGGCAAGAAACAGGAGGATCATGCAGATTAACAGCTGGATTTGATACTGGTGTTACCAGCACAGTTTTGGGGGTTTTGATCACAGGTCAGTTTATACAGCACCAAGCCTGCTGGCAACAAATAGGGTCCACCTGTCTCAAAGGCAAAAAAGGATCTTAGTTCAGGAGATCACAGAGCTCATTGTGAGAGCTTTAAACTAGTTTGGAAAGAAGCCAGGGCCAGTCTTGTCACAGAGAATGTGTAGGGAAGGAGAGAACAATAGAAACCGCTCTAGTAGCATAAGGAGGCTTAAGAGGCAGTACCTGGGGCAAGTAGAAGCAGCCAAAGAGCTAACCACTAAATAGGAGTATGGGGCATCACTTTGCACCTCCACTGGGATGTGGACACCATCAAATACTTCTATAAGGTGCCTGTACCCAGAGATCTGTGTGCAGGCACAGGCCTCTGACCACACAGTGATTACAGAGACGCAGTGGGATAGCTTGCACGACTGGAATGTTGCCACGAAAGGCAACATACTGTTCAGAAAAGACAGGCCAGGAAGTCACATTAGTGGAATTTCCCCCTGTGTGAGGCAACACTTAGGAAGTATCAAGCTCCGTCTTGGGGTAGATGATAGGCAAGTGGAGAGCTTATGGTTTAGATAAAAGACACTGTTGTAGGTGTTTGCTATAGGCTGCCTGATAGGTAAAAAGAAGTGAATGAAGCCTTCTACAGCCAGCTAGAAGCAGCCCCAGAGTCACAGGCACTGCTTCTTGTAGTGCACTTTAACTACTCTGACATCTGTTGGAGAAGCAACACAGTCCAAGAGATTCCTGGAAAGCGTTAATGACAACTTCCTGTCACAGGTAGTGGAGGATCCCACAAGGAGTGCTGTGCTGCTTGAACCTCATACTAACAAACAGGGAAAGCCTCGTGATGTGATGGCTAGGGGCAACCTTGGCTGTAGTGACCACTGAGATTGTGGAGTTGGGTATCAGGCAAGGTAGAAGCAGGGCAGCAAGTAAGATACAATCATAGACTTCAGCAGAGCTACCTTTAGTCTCTTTAGGGATTTTCTTCAAACAGTTCCATGGGAACATGCCTTGCAGGGACAAAGCGTCCAAGGGACCCTTTGATATTCAAGGACACAGCTGATATTCAAGAATCATTTCCTCCAGGCTCAAGAACAATGCACCCTGATGAGCAAGAAACTGGGTAAAGGCAGCAAGAGATCTTCATGGATGACCAAGGAGCTTCTGTCATTACTTAAGCACACACAGAAAATGCACAGGAGATAGAAGCAGGGTCTGGCCACTTGGAATTAATATAGAGAGGTCATCAGAATAAGTAGAAATAAGATAAGGAAGACAAAGGCTCATCTGGAATTAAATCTGGCCAAGGATGTCAAGGACAAGTAGTGCTTCTTCAACTCCATTAGTGACAAAGGGAAAACCAAGGATAATTTAGGCCTATTACTGAATGGAGGGGTGACCCTGGTAACAGAGGATGCAGAGAAGGCAGAGTTACTGAACACCTTCTTTACAACTGTCTTCATTGACAAAACCAGCTTTCAGGAATCTCTGACTCAAGGGACCAGCATAGAAGAATGTTGGGAGGAAGACTTGCCCTTGATCAAGAAGGACTGGGTTTGAGAACACACAGACAGACTTGACATCCACAGGTCCATGGGTCCTGACAAGATGCATTCACAAATGCTGAAAGAGTTCTTTGACACTGTCTCCCACAGCAAACTTCTGGAAAAGCTGGCAGCCCACGGATAGAGCACTCTTTGGACACCCATGTACAGGAGCACTCTCGGCTGGGTTAAGAACTGGCTGGATGGCTGGGCCCAGAGGGTGGTGGTGAATGGTGCTGCATCCAGCTAATGGCAGTCACCAGTGGTGTCCCCTAGGGCTCTGTGCTGGGGCCAGTGGTGTTCAATACTTTTACTGATGACATGGATGGGGGCATCGAGTCTTGTCATTAGTAAATTTGCAGACAACACTAAGCCGGGAATGTGTGTTGATCTGTTGGAAGGTAGGAGGGCTCTGCAGAGACCTGGAATGGTTGGATGGATGGGCAGAGTCCAATGGGATGAAGTTTAGTAAGTCCAAGTGCCCAGTCCTACATTATGGCCACAATAACCCCCTGCAGCTTTATAGGTTGGGATGGTGTGGTTGGACAGTGCCCAGGCAGAAAGGGACCTGGGGGTTCTGGTTGACAGCTGGCTGGACATGAGCTAGCAGTGTGCCCTGGTGGCCAAGATGGCCAGTGGCATCCTGGCCTGGATCAGGAATAGTGTGGCCAGCAGGAGCAGGGGGGTCGTTCTTCCCCTGTACTCGGCACTGGTGAGGTCACACCTTGAGTGCTGTGTCCAGCTCTGTCCCCTCAGTTTAGGAAGGACATTGAGACACTTGGGTGTGTCCAGAGGAGGCAACAAGGCTGGTGAGGGGCTTGGAACACAAACCCTGTGAGGAACAGCTGAGGGAGCTGGGATTGTTTAACCTGGAGAAAAGGAGACTCAGGGGTGACCTTATCACTCTCTACAACTCCCTGAAAGGTGGCTCTACCCAGGTGGGGTTGGTCTCTTTCACCAGGCAGCAACTCACAGAACCAGAGGACACAGCCTCAAGCTGTGTCAAGGGAAAATTAGGTTGGATATTAGGAAAAAGTGATCAAGTACTGGAATTGTCTGCCCAGGGAGGTGCTGGAGTCGCCATCCCTGGATGCACATAAGAAAAGACTGGATGTGGCACTTGGTGCCATGATCTAGTTGAGGTGTTAGGCCATGAGTTGGACTTGATGATCTTGAAGGTCTCTTCCAACCTAGTCATTCAGTGAATTCTGGCTATCACCCCAGTGAGGCTGCTCATGGTCATTTTTGAAAGGTCATGGCAATCAGAAGAGATGCCTGAGGTGAGGACTGTAAGAAAGCAAATGTCACTCCAGTCTTCAAAAAGAAAGCGGAGGACCCAAGGAACTAGTAGTCAATTAGCCTCACCTCAATTCCTGTAAAGGTGATGTATTGCCTCATTCTGGAGGCCAGCTCTATTCACATGGATGAAAGAAGGTGATCAGGAGTAGTCAGCATGGTTTCACTAAAGGTGAGTCACATTTGACCAACTTGGTTGCCTTCTATGATGACACAACTACCTGGATGGATGAGGGGAGACCAGTGGGTATTGCCCACCTTGACTTCAGCAAGAATTTCAACACTGTCTCTCACTCTCTCTCATAGTCAAACTCAGGAAGTGTGGATTGGATGAGTGGACAGTGAGGTGGATTGAGAACTGGCTGAACAGCAGATCCCAGAGGGTTGTAATCAGTGGCACAGGGTCTAGACAGAGGCCTATCACTAGAGGTGGCCCCCAAGGTCCAATACTGAGTCCAGAATTGTTTAGCTGCGCCATCAATGACTTGAATGAAGGGGCAGAGGCCTCCTCAGCAAGTTGGCTGATGACACAAAGCTGGGAGGAGTGGCCAGTACCCCAGAGTGCTGTGCAGCCCTTCAGAGAGACCTCGAGAGGCTGGAGAGATGGGCAGAGAGGAACCAGCTGGAATTCAACAAAGGCACTGCAGGGTCCTGCAGCTGGGGAGGGAATAACCCCAGGCACCAGACAGGCTGAGGCTGATCTGCTGGGAAGCAGCTTGTGGAGAAGGACATGGGGATCCTGATGGACACCAAGCTGTCCATGAGCCAGCAGTGTGACCTTGTGGCCAAGAGGCCAATGGTGACCTGGGGTGCTTAAGGAAGAACATTCCAGCAGGTCGAAGAATGTGATCCTGCTCTTCTACTCTGCCCTGGTGAGGACAGATCTGGAGTGCTGTGCCCAGTTCTGGGCTCCTCAGAACAAGAGAGACATGGAACTTGTGAAGAGGGTACAATAGGGAGCAACAAAAATTATTTCTCTTACAAGAAAAGGTTGAGAGATCTGGGCCTATTCAGTCTTGAGAAGTCACAACTGAGAGAGGACCTAATCAATGTCTGTCAGTATCTGAAGGGAGGGTGTCAAGAGGATGGAGCCAGGCTCTACTCAGTGGTGCTGAGCAAAGAACAAGAGGCAGTGGCAGAAACTGATGCAAAGGAAGTTCCACCTGAACATAAGGAAGAGCTTTTCTACTGTGTAAGTGGCCCAGCACTGGAACAGATTGTTCTGAGAGCTTCAGGAGTCTCCCTCTCTGGAGATATTCCAGAATCATCTGGATGCAATCCTGTGCAAAGTGTTCTAAGATGACCCTGCCTGAGAAGGGAGGTTGGACCTGATGACCTACTGTGGTCCCTTCCAACCTTAATCATTCAGTGATTTTGAATAAAGGATAGTTACTTGTTGGAATAATAAAGTTAGTGGGCATGAAAAATTGTGGTATGAGAAAACTTAATTGGGACCTGTATCAGGACCAGTATTACAGAAAAGATATTTGGTAGCACAAATGCAAATGTCAGTATTAGAATGCCAGAACTCCTGAAGGTAGGAATATTTGTTTTCTGCTCATGCCTCTCCTCACTCCCCCACTTCTCTTCTTAAAGAGGATCCCTTGCACATTGATGCAGATCCTATACTTAAATAATTATGTCTGCCTAACCTGAAGATCACAGCTATATACTAGGAAAACACAAAATAGTGTAAAATACTACAGCATAGTATGACACAACTCCTTCTCCCAATAAAATTATGAAACTATTTCAGGACTTAAAAATGTCTGGATAAATTTCAGGTAATACAATGCAAGCTACTAAATGAGTCATACTGCTTAGTGTGCTGCAGAATGGAGCTTTATTGATCTAGACTTCAAGTACCGAAAGTTTTTTCTGGCCCTTATGTTTGAAAATATAGAATACAGTTTTCATTTTGATGCTGAGTCTGTATGTCTATGTATGTTTACACAGTTAAGGAATCAGCTATGTTTTTGCCATGTATCCCTACAGGACCAATTTTAAGATAATGGAGTCCATCTGGTGTTTCACCACTCTCTTATCACAAATCCAGTCCAAGGAAGCAAAAATACTTCTGCCACATGGGTAAACTTGCACCTACATAACTCCATAGATTTTTATACTACAGCACCTTTTAAAAACATATGTACTTTGACCATCTCTATTTACGGACACTAGAGGGAATGACTAACTTACATTTCATATAGACAAAGAAAAGTAGTAATCTCATCTTACCTCACTGAATCTGGTTATCATTTTGCCTTTTCGAACATCCCAGATAAAGCCACCATTTCTGGATGTTCCACCTGCTATGCAGTTCAGATTTCCTTTAAAGAAAGATGTTTGCAAAATATTACAATAACTATAAAATCACAATATTGTTTGACAGTGGTTCTACTTTGAAGAAATGTAATATGCACATGAGACATCAACGGTACACAAACATGAGCTTTCCATAGTTTAAGGCCAGCATTTGCTACTAAGTCACAAGCATCAATTTCAGTGAAAGCCTGACCTGTTTTTCTACATTCCTGTTTTGATGAATGGTCAAATAAAAATTGTGTTGCAATAAAAAGTATCTTAATGCCTGCTGAAAGTCTTACATGTAAGAAATTAATGATCATGATGCATATGACTCAAACGGCAAGAGAGGTAACCTGAATGTTTCAAGCTAAAAGAAGCTGTAGCAACTAGAGAAATTTCCTTTAAAGTTCCCTATATATGAAGACAAATCGTAAAAATGAGAGAGAACATCTAACAGCATTTTGTTTTCTTAATCTTGCACCACTGCTGCACCTAAGACCATGAAGAATGTACCTGAATCTGTAACCACACTCTACAGGGTGGAAAATCTGAGTACAAAACTCCACAGTGGGAACATGAAAATTCAATTCAGGTCTAATTCAAAAGTCACCAAATTCTCCTCACCGCAGTGACTCTCTATCCCAGTATAGCTATGCTTTTCATAAACAGCAGATTTATAGGAAAGTTTTGACTATTATTTTATTCCAAGCTTCAGAGGCAGAAAAGACAATCTGTGCAGGAGGAGTCTAGCAAGGTAAATATATACAATGGGAATAAACTCAAGTAGGAGAATAACGAGGGAGAAAAAAAGGAGTAATCAATTTTTTCAAAGGTCTTCTGAGACCAAAAAAATGGTGGCACACATTAGATTATATATTAGGAACAAAGTACAGGCCAGATAGGAACTATCTGGGAGTAAGGTGAAAGAAGCACCAAAAGCTCTGGCTGGGAGGGACAGGAAGCTCTGGACAGGATGGTAAGAAAAAAAGTTGAAGCATGTGTTTCCAATTTACTTTTTTTGTTGTTTTTAAAAAACAAAACAAAACAACAACAAAAAAACCCCCCAAAATCCCAAGCAAACAAAAAACCAAACAAAAGCAACAACCCCACACCCCTCCTGCAGCCAACAAACTGCTCATTCAACGTGAGATACAACTACAAATTGAATTTAAACTTCAAAGCTAAATAACCAAGTATAAGCATTGTATTTCATATTGCCATAATTTCCATATAGCAAGACATATTATTTGTGAAGAGGTATAAGGCACAAGAGACTCTCTGAAATAAAAAAGTGCAAATTTATTTCACATATGCAGACTACATTAAGCTTCCCACCACAATATTTTTCTCCTCAGTTATTATTTCTTAAGAGTTTAAAAGTGCATGTGAGAACAGAAAGATGAATCATTTAGATTTTTTAAAAAATACATCTGCTGTCCAAAGGAATAAAACACAACAGGGAAGTCAACCTATTGTCAACTATTGACAACTATCAATAGTGTCAAGAAGTGTATTTTCAGGTACACCAAAGAGACAGTTTTGAAAACAAAATTTCCCAGTTAACTCAAGTGATTTGTCTAAGAAAAAGTAGATGCTTTGCAGAAAAGATACTTCCTATCCTAATAATGTTGAAGCAGAGTTCTTCAGTGATTAGACTCCTACACAACGAAGGAAGAAAAAGAGCTAAATACATATGTTCCACTATTTCAGCACAAAACATAATCTGAATTCCTTTAAGAAGCTGCTTCTCATACAAAGCATTTTGTCATCTGCGTAATGCCATGTTAGAAATGTTCCAGAAATTTTCTTCCCTCCATTCTAAGCAAGAAATACTGGGAGCATTACTCACAAGGGTAAGCTTCAGCAGGGTCTAAAGCATTGAAATGTGCTGATTTCACAGATAATTAAGTTTTGTTTAAACCTTACAAGATGCCTTTCTATATAAAACTAATACTTTTATATTAAAAATTCTGCAGGCAATGCTAATTCAAAGAACCTTTAGACATACAGCAAAATATTCTTACCTGGTGCCCAAGAAATGGAATAAATAACCCCCTCATTACCAGGAGATGTATAAACGGCTGATAAAGTATTTATGTCCCAAACTTTTATTGTGCCATCAAATGAAGCTGTAGCAAGAAGATCAGGGTTATCAGGTTTGAATTTGCAATCAAAGATGGTCTCAACATGTCCCTTAAATGAAACAAATATTTAATCCATTTTTATTGCATTTGACTTTTTTCATAGTCCAACTCTAGGTCAAACTCAAAAATACATTGTATTTAATTTACCTGTCCCTTTATATTTAGGCCTATGAGTCAAAATTAAAAGGCATAAAATAACTTGGACTATAACACGTTCTTTCATAGATCATTATTAAAACCAGAAAAATTATTTCCTGCAACCACACAGTACATATTGCCAGGAACTTGTTAGCATTTTCTGTTGGAACTATGTTGCTAAAAAATTGAATTAAAAAAATTAAGCAAAAACCAACCAACAACAAAAAAAAGCAAAACAAACAAACAAAAAAGAGAAAACTTAATTTTTTAAAACAGGAATGGTTTTTCCTTTTGATAAAATGTACCTGATTGAAAAAATAAAGCTCTGTATGTCAAATATGTTCTACAAGTCTAGTACGCCACTAAATATGCTGTGTTTCTAGGTAAAGTCTATGCTCTAATGCAGTTTAAAATTCAATCCATTAGAGATTTCATGCATCAATTGGCTGTTTTCCAAGACATGCATTTGTAGAATTTAAGTTGGCAAATATATGAAACACAGGTATTAAGTAAGAATTTTTTCAAGCCTCACTTGCTTTACAGGATCAAACCCAATAAAAATGGAAAGAGAAGACCAACCAACAGCCTCTATTGAAATGCATAGGGAAAAATATACATAGCTGAAAAATATTTGGATTTTGCTTGTTTGGGGTTTTTTTCTGTGAAAAGGGAATTTGGAAAGAGGAAAAGAGAAATATCCTCAAGAACCTCAATAACCAAAAGCTTGGTGAAGAAGTGGGTTGTCTAATATATGTTAAACCTATTACTGAATTTCAGCTTCAAAGAAAATTTAATAATTCTTAATAATGTTTTTGTAAATTGAGTGCATTCACCATATAGCCCTCTGATTGGACTCATTATACTCAATTATAGAAAACCCACTAGAGAAAATTTCGGAGAAGGCCATCAAACTAAAATTTCAGGTTAAAAAATAAATAAACAAAAACCAAGTCTTTAAATCTTGATTTCTGGTTTAAAACAAACCATCAGAATATTTCCAACAGAATTCAGAAATTTCCAATAAAATATTAGTTTAAACTTCAGAACTGTCATTTTGTTTCTTAGAAATTTAGGTTCTTTTTAACAATAGCAACTGCTTTAAAGTACTGCAAAGACTTAATTCTCCATTTTTTTGCTGTTAGAAGAAAGTGCATAAGCCAAAAAAGCTCTCTATTCAAAGACAGAGATGAACCATACCAAATCTCTAAGGAAATCCCACTTTTTGGCTCCCATGTCATAAAGCCCCACTCCACCATCCATGAAGCAACAGACGGTATGACCAGGAGGAAGAGAAAATGCTTGGTTTTGGGTCAAAGTTGGAGGAGGAACAGCCTCACTTGTTGAAGATGTATGGTGATTTTTAGTAGGATACTGTGATGAACATGCTTAACAATATAAAGCAAAAGACAAAGAGAGAAGATTATTTCTTATTTCAATAATAAGTAAAATTATAAAGAGTAAAATGCTTGTATTCTAATGAGGTTGGAAACAAAAGAAATTGAGAATTCCTGTATGAAGCCTGGCCTACTAAAGAAGGACCTTATAAAGTACTTGATCCTTTATGCATTTGTCTAATCCACTAGCAGCAGAAGGTACTTTAATTAAGAACTAAATAGCTGACCAACTATACAGAGATTGATCTGGATATAACACGACTCATAAATAAGATTTTCTTAAGCTGCAGCCATTACAATGAATAACAATCAAAATTACACTTACACTTTTTCTTTGGAGGAGAACTTAGCACATGCAAGCCATGGAAACCAGTCTGCTTCAATTTAAAATTATCTATAGGTGTTGTACGTGAAACATTCCAAACACGTAACACACCAACCTGAGAATCTGAGATTTAAAAAAAAACAAAACAAAACACAGAGGTATGTGGTTTGACGACTGATTTGTACAAAAATACAGCAGTGAATTAAACTTCAAGTCCTAAGAATAATTTTATAAGCAGGCACTCTCAACTCCGTAACACAGAACAGTTATGGTTGGAGGGGACCTCTGGAGATCATCTAGTGAAACATCCATGGCATCCTACTTATCCTCCATTCACCACCGTGGCCATATCTCTATTAACAACAATCATTATTAACATTAGCTATTTAAACTCACAGTAAATTCTATGGAACCTCTCTCATTATAAAATATTCTGCCAGTCTTATCTTCCTGATTTATTAGTTCAACCTAAGTCATAATGGTGTAGAAAAGAGGCAGGAAATAGATCTTTTTCTTCTTTTAATTGTGTAAATCTTTGAGGTGACATCAATTAGTACAATGCATTTTTATTCCTATTCCCAATGGAATTAATATATTTTTTGTTAGGGGGTGCATGAGGAAAATATTATTTAGCACTAACAATTGTAGAAAGCCACATATTTATGTAGCTAAAGTTTTAAAACATGTAAAAACTGCTCAGTGTAATTTTATTATTTTCCGGTTTCGTGTTATGGTATTTTTCTGTACAATTCATGTATGCTTCTACTTGTAAAAAGATTATGAAACAGGAAAATCAAACTTGGAGTATCAATTTTGAAGACTCAATCCTGTATTTGTTATCTTTGTATAAATCAGAAAATAAAAGCCTTACCTCCAGTTATAAACATTCCAGGTGCACTAGAAACCCAGGCTAAACACTGAACAGATGCTGCTGCACTGGGAAAACTGTAAGTTGTGATACAGGACAGAGATTCAGAGTCAACAAGTCGAATACCATTATGTAAATTAGCAACAAGAAGGTATTCAGTTGACAAAGGGTCCCACTCCAGAGCTGTAACTGGATCTTCTTCATCTGTTCCTTCAAGAGACTCTGGTCTTAAGACATGTTTCTGATTTCTAGAACCTTTAAAGTGCACAAGAAAAGAGGTTATTTAAAAATTAAAACAAATATATCCTTTCGATAGTTACAAGGTTGGCAAACTTGTTTTTCCTCTCTCTGAAATTTTCACTAGCCTGCTCTACTGTCTGCACCAGTGAAATTAATGGAGCTGTCTTTGCAATACTTGACTTAGAGTATTTCTTTTTCTATCAGATTTGACTTTATGTTTAATACAGCAGAAAACAGAAACAGCTCTCAGGCTTATAATTTTACAGGAAAGGAAAATATGGTAAATCATATACATTGTTCTACGAATTTCTGTGAGTAAAAGTCTGCAGCAAAGCATAAAATACAAGCCATTTGAATGTAAGTAAATCTGCATACCACAGCGTATACAGGCAAAATAAAGACAGTTTGAAACAGAAAAACACTATGGCAGTAAAGGCTTTTTCTGAACAACGTTTTTTCTTCTTTAAAACTATGTGTGCAGCTATGAAGCGTTTATAGATTCTATAGCCAAAATCGACCATTAAGTATCTAGTCTGACACCTACAAAAAAGATGACATTTCACTTGATGATCCATATTATCAAAACCCACATTTTTTTAATATCATACTTATCTCCCAATTCTTTTTTCTACAGAGAGATGAATCTTAGTTTTATAAGACAGTGTACAATCCAAATAAAATAGATCTGTAATTTTGAAGTTGTGATCTTATGCTAAAAAAAATACCACTGCTTTTCTAGAAATAAGGAAATTACACCTTCCATTACTCAGCTTCAATTTAATGTTCAATTTTAGTACTGTTTCATACACATTACATCTAAAAAATCAGTTACCAGAAAAACCAGTTAAAATCAGTTACCAGAAATGGGAGAAATAATTTAAGACTGCACGACAATTAACAGCATAAACTGATTTCTCAATTCCATTTTTCACCTTCTGAAGCATTGGGAGTAACAGCAGAAGTATGATAATTGCTTTCATTTGCCAAAAACTTGAGAACTCCCACTTTTTTAAACAATGCCACCTGCTTACATTACAGATCACCTTTTTGTTTTACTGCAAATCAACGTTGAAATGAAAAACAAGAACAGACAACAAAGCAGAATTGTCATTTTTCAGTTAGCTATACAAGAACTAAAAGCAAAAAGTCCTCAAGTGACTGAAGCCACCCATATCCAAACACTTCAGCCCCAAGAAAGCACAATCACCTGGTGGAAGACTATAAGCCAGTATGTACCTAGGAGCCATTTGGTTTTACCTGTGTTTCAAAAAAAGAGTCTAAAAGCAAATCTTATTCAAACCCTAACTGCTAAATTTTGTTTTCCATTAAAAGAAGACATGAACAGTATGAATCATGCAACTGAGTCACAGGCCATTTAAGTAAGCTGTGCTTATTTTGAGAACAAATGAAAGGGAAAACATTTTGCTCTATATGACTGCATTGAATCTCCCTAAAAATTGGGTATTAATCTTATATTCTTGCATGTATTTTCTTTAGACTAAATGTTCTGATACAATAATGCATAGTCTAGAGTTAATAAAAAGGAAATACATCCATGGCAGAGAAAACTAAGTAGATAACAACAGTGAAAAAAAATGTGTAGTGTGCTACTTATGCAGAAAATTTTCACCCAGCTGCATATAAACTTTCAAATTTTATTTCTCTGTTGGAAATGAAGAATCTTATGTATGATAAGAACAGGAAACAACTTATATATTTTTTAATTTTAAAATTATTTTAATAAATATGTGTAATATTACAATAATAAAGAAGACTATCCTAAATACAGAAAAAGGCAGCATTCTTGTGATAAGCTAATCTAAATTTTGAGTTGATGGAAGGAGTTTTATCTCCAACAGTAATGGATAATTTTCCTTAAACAATTTTTTTACAGCAACTTGAATTGTGGTACATACAAAACTGCCACTGCCCAGATTTTTTTAGCCTATATTTTCATTTGCAGAATATAATTTTGATATTTTAAATGTGTTTCTTATTATTTCTGTTTTCATATTTAAATAATTCTAGGAAGACTTCATGAAAAGTCTGAGTCTGATAAATACTTAGATGTTATCATATTAAAATTGATTTCCTTATCCCAATGCCAGTGCTAATTCAGTCTGCACTACAGAAGCAAGGGACTCTATTCTCTGTGACATCCTGTGTGACAACTTAGTAGAGTGAACTGAAGGAAAAGAAATTTAGTATGGCTGTTGAAGAACAACTCTATAATGTGTAAAATGAACACATTATTTAAAGAACAGTTTATCTCATGAAGTTGAAAATCAATTTTTATTCAAGGAAGAAGAAGCAGTCAGGAAAAATTAGAAATAATCAGCATAATACAGATACCTGCCTGTGAAGAAAACTATGAAAACAAGTGAAATTTTAAGTTCAAATGAGCTTATCAACATGACACCTTCTTAGCAGAGAACTAGACTATTTATAAACTATGCACAAATGTGTGTGGTGGATTTCAGACAAAAAGAGATAAATATTTTCCTGTCTATCCTTTGACAGAACAGAACCATGAAGATAATATTAAGTGTGACGTGAGATTCTACCCATAAAATTTTTGGGGATTCTAGAATATGAAACAGAGGACTCCAGAAGGAACACAGAAGTAGGAAAATAAACAAAAGATTCAAGTCTTTCCATTAGAAGAAGAAACTTGCAGGAAAATATAGCTCAGTAGAAGATCATGGCTGTTATCATTCGCCCAAAAGAAAGTGTTTATTGCAGTTGTCAAAAAATTGCAGTCCTATCTTGGTCACAAAAGGGAGGAGAGATAAAGAAAATGCTCTGAATTCCTTATCTAAGAAAACATTTTTGTGATATGGAAGGAATAGGAATATGAATTAAGAAAAAATTTTATGTATGGAGCTACATTATAGAATCTAACTAAAAAGTGCAGAATTACATGCATAAGGAGAAATAAGTCATACATCTATAAAACTAAGTATTTTGCCACATGAGTTTTTACCTGGTTGAAATATAGATAGGCTTCCATCAGTATGTCCAAATACCACCTTTCCCTTTTTCTTTGGATGCCATCTAAACAGACTGATATCTGACAAGAAACTATGTGCTTCTCTATGCACAGTTACCCCGCTGTCAGGTCCTGAGATAGTCCAAATGTACAGTGGACCTCTGTGGGACACAAATGCAACTGCATCACCTGCATTCCAGCACCAGCCAAGGGACGCAGGAATTCCTGAAACATACAGGTAAACCTTGTAAGAACCAGGATACAAAATTCAGTGTAGTATTCCTTGACCCAGTATCAGCAATTGTCTTGAAAAACAATAGAAATAATTGTTTTACATAAAAATCGCTAGACTGAAATTTAGAGAACTGTGTGAACATCTTACAGTGTAAAAGTAAACTACAGACTTCCACAGGCAGGAAGTAAAATTATTTCCCAAATTACTTTTATGCTACTTAGATGGGCCATATTTTCTATCTATACTCTATCAGTGCCAAAGACAATCACACATTTGAAAGAGAATAAGCCTGATCCTGCAAACAATACTTTCATTCATTCAGAATTTCATTCACTACTATGTCTTACTCTAAGTTATTTGCTACTAAGATAGTAAAATACTGAGAATTTCAAAATGCCTATTTTAGCAAAATACAATGAAATTTAGAGATAAATCTAACAGAAACAGATATTTGTGACAAAATTTGAAAGATAGCTCTGTAATAAAAGGAAACTTTTGATAGCTTTCTTCTGGATACACGACAGTTTTAATTCAGTTGTCTAATATCTAACAGTAGGCAGCCCCATTCAAGAATTTTGATCTTAATGTCTCAAACCCTCATCATCCTCATAACTTAATAATGTGTGCCTGAAGGAAAAAATGACAGTAAGACAAATTCCTCAAGATGAAAACTTAAAACTGTATTTAGACATTTTTATATGGCAGTGTGAAAGGAACTAAAAGAGAAACCAATAGAAAGTTTAAGCATATTATCTTAAATTAGTTTCTAAAACTATTAAAATAGTAATAACAACACTTCTTTCATGTGTAGTTGTCTTGGTTTGAAACCCAAGACAGTAGTCATTGGCTGAAGTAGATTTTTAAACAAGCAGTGTATTGAAAATACTTATTGAAAAAAGTACTTATTGAAAAACAAGTACCAGCATTTATATTCATGCATGAACTGATACAATATTTATTTTAGAACAGATTAAATCACCGTGGAGTTTTCTTTTGTATGACATGCAAGATGTAAAAGATTTCCAGAGGTATCCCTAAATGCTCCGGAGAGAACAGAGTAGGGAGTCCCAAAATAGCTTATTAGATACTGAGATTCTGACTGTTCTTGGGTTGCATTCACTTTCCAAGGATGAAAATGTAGGAGTCAAGGACACCTGATGAGATTGACTATAAGAATAGAAATACAGGTACTGGTTAAGAATAAATGGCATAAATCAGAACTAGGCAGGGAAATGTAACTGTAACACGAATGTTTAACGGCCTAGACTTGTAATAGAATCTCCAGCAGTTTCAAGGCCTGAGACAAGATTCAGGCAGACAAGCATTAGGGTATTTAAACAAAAGCTGTTGTTAAAATTCAGTGATTATTTATACTTGAATCTGTTAAGGCTAACTTTTATTTGGTTTCACTTAGCTAAAGTCATTGTGAAATTTATTATTTTAATATTTAATTATTTATCCTTTTATACAGTGATGAAAATAATGTTGATTTTGGTTTTTTTTTCTCCCCTGCTCAACAAGAAATCATTAGAAAAGTCAATTCCTGAACCGGTCAACTTCTTTGGAGAAAAAGAATGCCTTTCTTTACCAAATATGACATGATTGACAGCAATTTACTCAAACACACTGTCCTTATTTTCTAGAATGAACTGCAACAAATCTGACGAGAATATTGTGTTAAGCACCTGTTAAAACTCCAGCCTACCAACTACAGAGTTTACATTACATCAAGTATTTCTCATACCCATGGATCAAGCTGTATGGGTAAAACAATCTCCATGTCTAAAATACCTTTTGTATTGTCCAGCTTGGCCACAACTTTCTGTTCATTCACATTCCAAATGATCACTAAACTATCTGCACTGGCACTTGCAAACACGTCAGGATTGTGGGGACACCAAGATATGGCTGTGATTGTCTTCTTATGCTCAGACATAATCGCATGGAGCTTGAATTCATTGTATCGGTGATCCAGCTAAACAAATAGTAAAATTCATTTTAGAAATACGTTTTTTGTAAACTTACTTGAAATACCTCTATATGAAATATTAGAGAATACTTCATATAACAGCATTACACTTATGGATGAGCTTATTGTGCATTTAACTACTGCCAGTACCTCACATCTCAATAAAGTAAATTCTCACACATTTGACTTGAAAGAAAGGTTGCCCAATATGCAACTATCCAAAAAACAGTTGTATGTCTAGCTTCCCGTCACTTAGAAATTATTATATTTCATTTGGAAGTGTACTCAAACAATCCTAAAATGCTTTATTTATAGATGTGGTAACAATCATTTAGCAATTTCCAAGGGGGTAAGCAGGACAGAACATAAAAATGAGTTTGAAATCCTTCTCATTTTTAAAGTTAATTAGTACAGGGAAAAATCCATATTAAAAAAAAAAAAAAAAGCCCAGACACAACACAGTAAATTTTGGTCATTTTAATCCTACTACCAGTATAACTCTTAAAATTAAAGTAAATACATCCTTTATTTCCTCCCATATTTCTCAATCTGAAAATTCTATGTCACAGCATTTCTATTTTTTAGTTAGGTGTTGATGTACAGCAACTACAAACTTCAGAAGAACACTGTGCTGAGGAGTTTGGACTCCAAATTAAATAAAGGTGGGTCACTGAATCCATACCTTTGAACCATTTTAATCCACTGTGCAAAAGACTATTTTATACTACAGCTTCAGATGTAATTGTGGAATTGCTTCATTTCTCCCTCAGAACCCAGTCTTCTATCACTGAACTTCACTCATCTCAAATTTGCTGCACTGCAAGCTGTCTTCTAAAAATAATTCTTGGCACATACAACTTCAGGGATATCTTGAAAGGAATATTGAGCTTTACATAGATATCTTCTCAGCAGCAACTATACTTGCAAAAGCATTGCAGAAACATTTGTTCAAAGGGTTCAAAGTGAGATCAAAAACAATGTAAAAGTGTAACTAATCTGAAAAACAAGAATAATCTTACCTGATAAATATAAACAGCAAGTGTAGCACAGTAGGCAAATCTGTCCCCACTAGCGGCACATATATCCTTGTTCCATGGCTGACATCCAGCAGCTAAAAGTCCCACTTGTTTCACACGTGACATTTTTGCCTTTAAAACAGAAATTGATTAGACTCCAAAATTACAGAAACTTGAATGATAGAAACATTCATTAGATGACAGAATATTACAGCATAGAATAATACATTTTGTTCCCATAAATAATAATATATGTCTACTTAAAAAATATAACTCGCCTGAGGTACAAATGAATGTATCCAAAATAAGAACAAATAGATGTTCAGAGGCTTCAGTGCCACACAAGAAAGGGTGCCTAACACCATTCACAACAATCCATTTGGAAGAAAAAGATGGGGAGAGGAGGTGCTCATAAAACTTTGAATTGTTCTTGATTTGTAGTAGCTGGAACTGTTCATCATGTCCATTTTCTTCTGTGGTTCGTTTAATACTTTCTCTATTACAGTTTAACGCTTTCTCTGCTCTCCCATTCATCTCCCACTGACAGCCAGACAAAATAAACCACATACTAATAGTTTTAAGTAAAACAAACATGTAGAAAGGTCTTCAAACCACTTGCATAGAACAACTCTTTGTCATATTATCCTCCCTATCATCATCCTTTCCAGAGAAGCTTTCTAAATTTTCTTAATAATTACCGTTTAACAAAAAAGTTGAAGTGAGCTGTGAAAAATCAAAAGCAAATCTTAGGGTAACATTACTATACAGCAAACTATGCTTTCTATGTCCAAAACTAGTCTCACAGTACCAGCTGTGCTCAGAGTGAGAAAACTGACTTCAACATAAAAATGCAAGAAATGCTTTGCTGGGCCACACCAATTATTTACCTAGTCCCTTTTTAATTCAGCATAATGCCAACATGTTACCTAGTAACAGAATGTCTCAGAGTCACATTTCTGCTGTGGACACATTAATGGACTGAGGGATATTTAAAAAATAAAAAATAAAAATATTACATGGAATATGGAGGATGACATCTTTAGGTCAAAGAGTTAAACTATAAACCTGAAAGAGAAGGAGAGCTATGTTACATTTACCAAATGTTAGGTACCATTTCAAGCTCCACAAAGGAAAGGGAATTAACAAGAAATGAGATTTCAAGGCAATCAAGTACTTTGAGGGAGGAAGTGTGGATGAAGTACAAGGGTTGATTATACAATGCATTGCTGTGCAACAGTTTAGCACAGATATGTTGCTGTAGGCCACTTTTGACTGACTTGATGTCAAATGTATAGAAGGGGAAATATTTTTCTGGATGACAGTAGTATTAAGGCACATACAGAACAGATTTTATACAGGTGTTGCAGTAGTGATCTACAGTACTCAAAGGAACCTATTGGTCACTATTGACTAAAAGCTGGTTGCCTAAATATTATCAAAGTTTCATTTTAATAAATTTATACAAGGGATAAAAATAAAGTTGAATGAATAATTTTAGTTTTTCTCCTCTGCTTGGTGTATCTGCTTGGTAAGTAAACAGTAATGAATAATTATAGGTAGCAAATTCCATGACATCATGTTTCTCTCACTTTGGAAAGTGTGACAGAAAGGGAAAAAAATTGAGAGCGACTTATTTTGGGGGCTTCTTTAGCAGAAGATCAGGATCAATTGAACGTTTGAGACTGATCATCTCAAAGATATCACTGACCCTAAGTTAAATGCTTAAACATTCTGAGTGAATGACTGAAGGAAATTAAATGCTCACATGTAAAGTTTGAGAATTTTGGTGAAAGAGACTGCAACAGCAGAACAGAAATATACAGAAAAAATAAGTTACGAGATCCAGCTTTGTTGTAGACTAGTGCTTTGGCTATTAGACTTCCTATCTGTCTGTCAACAGTATTAATTCTTCCAATTTCTGCAGCAAACTAGAGATTCCAGAGAGAACATTTCTATAAATTTTATCATCTTGCAGCTCCTTTGCAATCCATCTCATGTTCTAAATTATAAGAGTCCCCCAGAGAGAAATCTATCTAATTATTTAAAGAATAAACATCATAAAGTGGCAAAAATAGCCTCCAAATTTCTAATTTTGCCATTTAATGTTCTTTACTGCTCAGTAAAATTACAAATTCCAGAGGTCCCTTCTGTGCAATTAAAGTATAAATTACATATACAGAGAAATAATTGTGTTTGGGTAATTCAGAACAGACTTCTTCTAGTTCCCATGAAAAAATAACTTGCACCATTAACAATCACTTCTTCTGAAATTGAAGTCCCCCAGCTGGTTAGATAACTATTTTATGAAATCACAGAATACCTAGAACTAGGTATTTTGGGTTCTGTTCTTGATTCCAGGGAAAACAATGGTTAAAACTCTAGGTGTGTCAGTAAACTGATAAGGAACATTAAAAAAAAAATGCTATGGTGAAATTGGAGACAATTAGCTGTAAAATATTAGATTATCCTAGGTTTAGTTTTCAGGGTTTACCACCTGAAAGCCATCAATTTAAGATTGATAAAAAGGTGATAACTACATAGAACCTAAGACTACACAACTACTTACTTCAAAATAATAAAAGATTTTTCTCACATTGTACAGATACTCTTTTTTACCTTCTCATATAGGAGCTAAGAATTCCTGATTTGCTGAAGATTTAATCTGTAAGAAAACATGACTTAAGTCTTGTTTAATTTGCAGTTTGATAACAGGTAAAATTAATCATAAAGCTAAAATCTCTTACAGATGCTAAAACAGAATTCCACAGATTTTTCTCTCAGAGTAACAACAGATTTGTCTTTTAGGATTCTGCAGTGATTTCTATAAAAATGCTACTAATAGATGAAATTTTTTATTTTAGATGAAAAATGCTGCTCTGTAATATATTGTTTTTTCACTGAATTAAGAATTCATGCTTAATAAGTATTCTTGAACTTTGACTAGATTTTCACTATATAAGCATATTTTAAAAAGTTACATATATAAAATATTTAGTTTATTACAGAAAAAAATGTATTTTATTTACTAATATTTATTGTTTTAAACTTATTATTTTGTTCTCTTTGTAATGATATACCATTTTACAAGAGGAAGCATTTGTCTTGAAATTCAGTATGACAGTATCCAGAAGAAATGACAGTTGTGTGGAATACTGACTGGCTCTCTCATAGTTTGCTGCATATATTTTCAAACATTACAGATTTCTGTTAAGCATGCTTAACAGAGTAAGAAGAGTATAAAATAGAAAGATGTATTCATCAGAACAGCCTGAGTAAAATGACAAAAATGTAGAAATGCAGTATAACTGAAAATATGTCTGATTTCACACATGGTGCATTTTTATACAATGGAATTTTTTTATACTTTGTAAAAAAGTATTTTATTTTGAAATAAGGGATGTACAAGTAATTATATTTGTCTTCTAAAGATGCAGTGAAAAAGACCCCTGTGCATGAAAAGAACGTATACCACATTGGGAAAGCTACCAGTGTGTGCTCACAGTTTCCAAGGAGATGAAGGAAAGAGGGAGGACAACAAAACCCTTTCTTTTCAATTGGCAGAAGCAGAAACATTCTAGGTCCTTCCTTGTTGCTTAATATAGAAAAAAAAAACCCAACAACTAACCACATTAAACTGAAATTTGGTATATCATAAATATAATTTTAAAATAACAACCGAATTGACTAGATGCATACCATGGCTTTATATCAATAGCTTAAAGATAAATGCCTAATAATCCCTACCTTAGCATAGGTGTCATTTTTTGCAAAGCACTTTAGAATTTCCATGCTCATTCCAATACCTTGCTGGGCCCAAAAATGGAAAATATTGTTCTGATTGTAGAATGAAATCACTTTACTTGACAGATAGGAGGAGCTAAACCTGGATGTTCACAGAATAATGCAGTTACTACGGGATGCAGGAGAAAAGACTGAGTGTTGTGTGACACCACACACAAAACGGCAGTGTCAGTAGCCTGGCAACTGCAGCTCTTTAAAAGGCACCATTTAAATTTTAATCTAACTCCTTTTTCTCTGATTCGGCTACTCAGTATTTCATTGCTCGCTGTATTTCCCAATTGCACTACAGTAACACTTGTAGGATAATAATAGCTCTTTAAACCCATCACTTAACACGTTCATTATCAATACAGTGCTTGCATGTTATCAGTATCCATAAATGTCTAACCATCAAGTACAAGCAACAACAGATGCCACAAGTGCTTTGATTGTGGTCCACGCGGGGTATGACCTATCCATATGAGTCCATATGCAATATGGCATGCATACAAAAGTGGATATACAGTAGCCTTATGTTAATCAATATGCTTGTGTGTATACAGAGTGTAGTTTCTTAACAGCTACAAGCAGTAAAGTGCTAGTGTCCTCTGCTTCTGTTCACTCTATTGCCATTATCTTCCCATCAGGTTTGTATCTTTTCTTATGTGGAAAGCTTGCTGTCTCTCCTGTATGTTCGACATACAAAATTCTTATATCTCATCCAGACTATTGTCCCAAGGTACCAATATTTTTGTCAGCAAATCAATGTTAACATAATAATTAATAAGATCTTAAGTGATATAATGACATTATATCACTAAAGATCTCCTTAAAGACATTGGGTATATTTACCCATCTTTGGGGGGAAATACATTGGAGATGAAAATGTCCCCTGCGAACCATAGAGTTTCAAATTCATTACCCTATCAAATGGAACCAGTTAAAAGCACCAGATAAGGGACAATCATTTTATCTTCCTAAAAGCATGAAGATCTTCAAACTTATGATGAAATCTTGGCATGTCTGTAAGAGCAGAAAATGACTTCTGGCTGACAATGTCTGCCTCAATAGATCTGAGACTCATGTAAGAACACAAACATAATTAGCACTGGTGTTCTTTCAGTGGGGCTGGTGAACAACAAACATATTATAGCCATGTTAAGAAATTAAATTCTCATTAATTTGTCCTGACTCATGAAATAAGGGTTATTGGAAATACCCTGGTATATATGCAGCTTAAAAGCCAATAGACAACTTACAATATGAAAACTTTGACAAAACAAACACTTCTTACTTTGGAGTACAGCAAAATGCTGACAAATTTTCAGTCTTGATGTGGCGTACTAAACTGCAGTTACTAATGCAGGTCTATGGATAGTCTGAGACAAAACACACCACTCAAGCAACTGCTTCTGGGCAAAAGATAAACAAAGTCTGACTATAGAAGTAGTGACAATCACAATGTAGAAGAATGTAGAAAATTATGTAGGTTTACACGTGTACTTCTCAACACAAGTGAAGCCCTTCCTACTTTCCAGGATAATTTTTCCAAGCTAGTCTATTGCTTATTAAAGTGCCAGGCTGGTTGCTAGTTTACTACTAAGCAGTATACATAGTTTGCAAAAATTAGAAAAGTTTTTTCTAATTTTGTATACAATTCATGGCACACAGGCCATGTATAGCTCCCAGATAAAGAGAAGGCTAACCATAGTTAGGAAGAGGATGCCTTGGACAAGGCTTTGAATTTCAACAAGATTCCTCAAAAATACCAGAAGCTTTGGCTAGACTTAC